GGGGGGGGGGGGGGGGGGGTTAGAAGGGGTAGGAATCATCAATTTTATGAACGGAGCTCCGTAAGGGGGTAGTGGCTTCCGTGACCACCGGAATGCAGTGGCCATGGAATCGGGCCGACATAAATATACATATATAAAATTCTCTCATTCTTGGAGTAATCATATTAGTTTTTTCTTTTAAAATTACGAAGAAAAATTCTGTATATTTAGAAATCGTTATATTTAAGTATTGATATAAGAATGAAAAATAAAACTTAATCACATACTAAAAAGTTACGTTAAAAATTTTACAAAACAAGAGCTGACACTAATATTTTCTATTATCAAATAATCATTTAAAACACACAAATAAATGAAAGCTTATGAAGAAGTGAGAAAACAAATACTCTGTATAATTTATTGAGGGACGAAAAAAGTACTCTGTATTTAATATGCCCAAGTAGAAAATTGCTTCTTAAAAAAGGATGATCTTTATCACTGAGGGCTCTTAGAATCGACCGGACAGTGATTGCATGGGACGAGGTAAATTGGACTTTGATTACAAATCAACAGTAGAGAGTGGAACTTACACCACCAACAACAACAACAACAACAACAACAACCCAATTAAATCCCACAAGAGTAGGGTCTGGGGAGGGTGTGTGTACGCAGACCTTGCCCCTACTCGAAAGTAGAGAGGCTGTTTCAAAAGAGACCCCCGGCTCAACGTCGAAAGTTGCATTGCTTGACTAACTGCTACTTCATTAATTAAAGAAGCGCAGACAGTTTAGAGATCCATTTTGATTTATTCCATCACACCCCAAAGCCAAAAAATGGTGAAATTTTGGCTCCATCGGAGATGATGGAACGAGTGGAACTTACACCAAATATTTGCAAAGACTTTATGCTTAGCACAGTTGCCAAAAAATCAAACTCGGGTATTATCCTTTGAACACCCCTTGCCTTGCCAATTAAGTGACGCCCACCTGCATGGAAATTACGTTTTTAAAATTCGTGTTTGAGAGCAAAAACTAATTCCCAAACAGGTCTTTTTTACCGGGAAATTATCTAGTAATAATTAATCCTACATTTTCGTGATCTTCCAAGAATCCGCATTTTACTGTCACTTGCTATAATCACACTTTTTACATGTATGCGAGTATTGGATTGTTGTTAGTAAGCTAACGGTCACTTGATTTATTTCTATAAAAAAGACCTATTTTGCACAAATAAATGAAAGATAAGATTATTTGAGGTAAATTCTCTCATTTTTTTTAAATAAATTAAATTTTAAAATTACTCTTTTAAGAATATAACAATACCTTCTGTAAAAGATTTGTCTTTTTTTCAAAAATATAATGGTTTACAAATGTTGTATTTCTATTTTTGAGAAAATATAATTGTGGAATATCAAAAAAGAATTCGAGGACAGCTCAAGAAAAAATTATTTTAGCATAAAAAACTATATTGAGTTATATTTAAAAAATTAATTTCATTTTGAAGAAATAAACTATTGTGTCATTTTAAAAACTATTGTAATGTTATTTGGGAAAAACATGTATTTAATTATCGAACAAATCATAACTTTTGTAGTGACATTTGGAAAATTAATAATAATAATAATATAATAGGGGATTATGAAAAACAATTCGGAGTGGTGATAAAAAATTACCATGAGTTCTAAAAAACTAGTTCGATTTCGAGAAAAAAATGATTGTGCAATTTTTACAACTTTTGTAATGTTGTTTTGCAAAACAAAAAATTTTGAAAAGAGAATTTAAAATTTTAAAATTAATGAAATATTTATGTAATTTTTTTAGTTTAAGCAATATTAATATTAATGAAAAATTTATTTTTATGTTTTTATTTGTTTTAATTTTAATTTAGATAAATAAAAATAATATGAAAGAAAAAAAAAGAACGAGCAAGGCGTGGTCCACAGTCCACACACCACACTCCTGAATAAGAATGAAATGTGATAAGAGAGAAAGAGCTAATGTATCCATATTGCATTTTCACACAAAAAAATAATGAGACCATTATACAATTTATTCTAGAGACTGAAAAAGAAATTAGAAATCATGAAAAAAAACTCTTTTTGCACACCAAGGTGTACAGACTATACCATGAATGAATGAACCAAAGAATTAAAAATTCAACACCCCAATCTAAGCACCAATTAATGGGGTAGAAATGTCCAAGGAATAAAAGCTTGGTGGAAATAGCTGGAAGGGCTCCGGGACATAGCAAGAATCCGCCCACTTTTCTGAGTCGGCTGCGTCGGAATCAGGCGCCGCTGTTCTAACTCGTTTAGCCGGAGTTTCTTCGTCCCCGACATCATAATTATCCGGCACTGCTGTTCTGACTCGCTTCTTCGCCCTTCCTCTGGCAGTTCCGTTCTTCATCATAGCCATCATCTTCTCTTTGCACTGTCGAATGGCTTCCTCGTTCCTCGTTCCGTGCTGGGAACCATTCTCCGGCGGCGGCAGCGGCCAGATGCCGACCTCATCTCCGTCATCGTCGGGAGATCGGATGACGATCCAAACAGGAGTGTCGCACAGTATTGAAAGCTCTCTGGCCTTCTTCATCACCCCTTCCTTTCTCCTCTTGAATGCTCGACGGCGAGCCTTTTCGCCTCCATTATTACTCTCCATTTTCTTCTACCCTTTTCCTGAATTTTCAGATTCCGAGTTCAAATTCAAACATTCAATGAAACAGTTCGATCCGTAATCGAATATTAAAAAAAATCATAATAATCCCCGTTAGATTAATTCACAGTTAATCGGTAAAAATCGGATCTTTGAGAACAGAAGACTCATGATCAAAGGAGAAATTAAAACACCATAAGAACTTAAATTGAGAAATTAAACTCTGCATTTTATTCAAAAAGGCAAGTCTAAACCCTAATAGAACGAATCTGAGAGAGATCTGAACGAAAAATCGAAGAAATTCAAAACCCTACGGATCTAAACAAAAAAACGAATGAGGAAGACGATGAAATTCAGAGGCGAAGAGAAAGAGGGAGAAATTACCTTAGAAGAATTGCGCGAAAACGAAGAGCGGATATGAATTTCAATCGCGCCGAATGAGATGAGAATTAGTAGAATCAGATTTAGAATTGTGAGAGAATCAGCTGGGGCGCGCTGGGGTTTGGGATGACCCAGTGACCTATTTTATACTGTGCTCAAGGAAGTGACCGAGTGACCTGTTTTAGGTCTGGGTTAAATGGGCTATGCGGGTTCCTCCGTCCGGAGTCCGAACCAATTGGTTAGGATGAGATATTTACAATTTTACACCTAAATGTTTAGCTCGAAGACCAAACCTAACAAACAAAGTTTAGCTCTGAATCATTAAATACGGAGTACGAGGCTTCCAATATTTCTCCCGCTCCTCTATAAGTATTTGTTGAGTTTTAATTTTTTTCAGTTAATCATCTCCAACATTTGATCCATAATTAAATCAAATATCTATTGTATGTTAATTAGATAAAATAATATTTTGAAAATATTTCAAATAATAAATCTAATAAAACTATTTTTATATCGATATCTAAAATATTTCAAGTATTATTTTTATTTAATTTGAGGTAAAAAAATTATCAATTTTAATAAAAAAAAGGTTAAAAGTTAAAAAATATTCAAGGACAGAGGGAGTACATTTTTACTTTTCAAGACATAAAACATTTTTTGGGTGAATGAATATTTTCTTTTGGAAATAAATCACTATATTAACCCTTCAAAAAATCAATATATTAAATTAAATAGATGTCACAAAAAATTGAGAAGCGGGTCAATCCACTACCCTATTCTTTCAGAAGAATGTGTAGCTCAAACTTATGCATGAGCAAGTACAGTGATAGAGTAAAAAGTAAAGTGAAACTTAAGATTTCTATCACAAAGATTCATAGACATTTATAATTAACAATAATAGAATTAAAATAAGACCAGTCATTGATTGAATTATTAAATACATCAAATCACTTCATTACAATTTGTTTTCACATTGACATGGCTTCTATCTTTGCCTTTGATCCAGCTTAAAACTTCCTTTATTGCAATTATCTTTGCTTCTCTAGGTCTAAAGCATTCCCTGCAACACAAGTTTTGTGCTGCAATAAATGTCTCTTGATAGTATCGAGCAATAAAAACCTACCTAAGACTCCGTCGACCAACCTCACCAACGTGTCCAAGTTAATCTTAATGTAGCCAGGAGGCGGCCACGTATAGTAAATATGAATAAAAAAGTTATTTTGAATATCTAAAGCATTTAATATTCATAATCTATCTTTGTAAAGGCTTAAGTACATACATTTTTAGTGTAATTGACTCGATTACAATGTAATATTTATTCGTACATTTTTCAACCTAATGGTGCACAACGAATCAATATGTCTACCTGCGTTAGGGCTCGAACCTCGGTGATTTTCCTCATAAATCTTGCTAATTGGGCTTCCAAGCACTTAAAGATATGGGAGAAGTTCAAGTACTTAAATAACTAAGGATGTAGTAACAAAATTGTATCCAAACATATATAATTAAAGAGAAATACATATATTTTAGTGGTTTGGATAAAAAATTATCAACAAATAATAAGTTTTATTAAAATTAAATTTACAATTAAGTTTATGTAATATATATGCATTTTTATTTTTATTGTTTTATTTATTGGGTGCATTTCATTGTTATAATATAAAAACATGAAAAAAACTTATAATCCAAAACGGGAAAATAATGTTAATAACAAAAGAAAAAAAAAAGAATAAACCCGAAAATATAATAAAATAATGGTTTACTATTTAATACGTATTGTAATTCTATAAAAGATAGTAGAATTTAATCATAATAGAAATAGGTAAATATTTGTTTTAAGAAGTAAAAAGTGTAACTATTGCACTAGATGTATGACACTATATGTGTGAAGCGCATGAGAGGGTGAGTGTGGTCAACTAACGTTGATGTGGGTGTTGATTTTTAAGTGGTCTGTGGTGGAGTGTTACAGATAGTCTTAATGAAATAAATACCGGAGTAATATCATTGGACAAACTTAAAAAAAAAGTACACCTTTGAGAGAGAGATAGTTGTTGTGTACTTGTGCTCTATGCTTGAATATTTTTGAAAAGATCGATGTTCAAAACTAGTTTAAAAGTAGTAGTGAAAAATGTACACAAACCGTCCTTAGATTTTATTATGTAAATTAATTTTCAAACACCTCTATATTACTCCCTCCGTTCCTAAATAAATTACTCCTTCCGTTCTAAAACTTTCTTTCCAGAGCACTATTCCAACTTCACGGAAATTTATATTTATTTGTGTTTTTTCATGGCCTACATGATAAAATAAAATACTCTTGTCACCACTTGTCAGAAACTAACCTGCCGGGTACCTCACATTTTTACTTTAGTGGATTATCAGAAAACTCTGCTCTTGAGTACCCCATATTTTGAATAAAATTGTACTCAATACTTTTAAAATTGAGTACTCAATTTTTTTTCAAATTAAAAAGATCTTGGTTATTTTTAAAATACCAAACCTCTATTTCTTAAAATTAATGGCGTAAAATTAATGTATATTTGGAAGTATCCTGGAGTATATTTTAAAAATATGAGGTACCCGATAGTTAATTTCTCAAAATAGAGGTACCTCGGAGTATATTTTAAAAATGTGAGGTACCCGATAGTTAGTTTCTCAAAATAGAAGGTACCTCGGAGTATATTTTGAAAATGTGAGGTACCCGGCAGTTAGTGTCTCAAAATATGGGTTACCCAAAAGCAGTTTTCTGGTGGATTATACCAAACTTAAATATCTTTGGTCAGATTTAAAACACTGAGTTAAATCATATCCACAAACAAACTATCAATATGTGACATAAATGATGATTCAAAGGCTGTGAATACAAATGCTCACAGACTAATTATAATTAATATTTCTGAGTGTATGGACAACAATAATGCGTACAAGGCAATTTTAAAAATTGGAAAATGGGTCCCTGAAACACAAATTTACAAGAGTGTATATAGGGTGAAATGATAGTGCCAATAATGAATGTTGACATGTGATAATAATGTTAGTCACAAATAAACGGTTTGCAAAATTCATAAAAATGTCTTTTTAACATTTCACTAGGAAAAGAATGCATCCAAATAATTAAAAATATATTAACTTAAAATTCACAAAAAACAAGCTTGTAAATTATTTGTATGTGACTAGTATTTTCGGATGCTTTATTGTAGATACGTGATTTCTTATGCTCTAAGACTTCAGCATTTCTACTCTATTGTTGTGTAAGCCCAGATAATTACACTCAATTCTACTTTAAGCAGCATTAAAATGGCTAACTTGTCGTTGAGATGCCCTTAGAGCACTGGTAGTACTCGTAACGCCCGGGGGCGTGAGGGGGCATTTAACGCCTCGGAGGCGTCAAACACCGCCCCCCGGCGGCGTTAGACGGGCGTCATCGCCAGCCCGTCATTCATTTGACGCTGGCTCGGCCCTTCGTCATCCCCCCCCCCAACGGCTCCAAGCCCTTTAACGGCTATTTTAGCCGTTCCCCCCCTCCAATTAAAAAAAATTCAAAATTTAAAAAAAAACCTATAAATTCCCCTAAAATACATCATTCTCTCACACATCTCTCTTTATATTCTCTCTAAAATATTTATTACTCCCTCCGTCCCACTCTCTTTGTCCACTTAACTTTTGGCACACCATCCAATGTACTTCTTTAATCCATTTTACCTTGTAATTTGTATATTAAAAAATTAAAGAAATTATATATTAATAATCTATATGTTAAGACAAATCAAACAAGATCACACATGACTATATTTAGGCTTACACATTGAGAGAATTTGATGAGTCAAAGTGCTTAGATGAACAGTTCCAAAAGTCAAAAGTGGACAAAAAAGGTGGGACGGAGGTAGTATTTATTATAAATATCTATAAAATATATTTAAAAAATGGGTTCATCTTCCGACGATGAAAGAAGAGCTTTCTTTTTTCGTTGTTTCGCAACGAATTGTATTCAATGGTGGGAAGATGGCCAAGAAGAAGTCGAATCCTCCCGACGACGGACCCGACGCCAACGTCTAACCGGGATCGAGCGGCCGCCCACGCGTCACTTCTAAACGACTACTTTAATAATCCGTGTGTTTATACACCGGAGGATTTTAGTAATCGTTTTCAGATGAGTCGTCCTCTCTTCTTACGCATACTTGCCGATGTTGAACGCGAGGTTCCTTGGTTCACCCAACGGTTTGATGCGAGAGGCCGACGTGGGTTTAGTAACGTCCAGAAGTGCACTGCTGCGCTCCGTCAGTTGGCGTACGGGACGACATCCGATATGTTCGACGAATACTTGAAGATGTCGGCTCGGAGCATCAGGTCATGTGTTTATAAATTTTCAAAAGCTATTATTAAAATATATCATAAAAGATATTTACGCAAGCCTACAGCGAGCGACATCCAGCAGCTGCAGGCAAGACATGCCGCTAAACACGGCTTCGTCGGCATGCTTGGGAGTATTGAGAACTTAATTTCCAACTTTTTATTGGGTTTGGAGAACTTAATTTCCAACTTTTTCCAACTCGTTGTAAATTCTTCTAATTTTTCCTAGTTCATAAATACCACCTCAAACTTATCCCAGCTCCAATCAATTTTTGTCCGGTGTACATAGAAGCCCCACTTAGCACCATCTCTCCTTCCCATTAAGAAATGCTCAAATTTTAACCATAATTCTACTTTTTTTTCTTAAACTCGAAAATATAGAAACTTAAATATGAAAAGGAAAGTAGTACTGGCAATCATCAAAATTTGACGGCAATAGCCTATATGGTCACTGGATAATATACAACACTTAGTGCTACAAATGAGAATATTAGTGTGTGTGTGTAGTATACAATCCAACACTTCTTCATAGGTATTGGCGAATGCTTTCGCCGCTCAGGGATTCCATCTCCCTGAGGATATCTTGTGCAAGTGATTTCACAGATGGCTCTGCGTCCTCTAGCAGTTCGCCAAGGAATGGAATTGTTTCTGCCAAAAACTGCAGGTACTCTTCTTTCAAGCTCTGCACCAGCTGCCTGACCACCCTCAAACCCAAGATGCGCGTCCGCAGTTTGTTGCTACGGGTGTGCATCAAAACCTGAAATATGACGACAATTTGGTACGGACGATTTTCAATTAGGAACGGTTCTAGAGTGATTGGCTTTGGCTGACACTGCGGTGTCAGTCTTTTTGGAGAACCTACGGTGCTTTGTTCGTAAAAATGATGGTTCCCAACCCTCTTCAATTTTACCACCCAAATTTAGTTGACTCTTGGGTATAATAAAATTGACCCAAAAGTCAAGTGAATTCAAAGGATGAAAGTGAAGGGGTTCGAGTAGGAGCAGTGATGGGTTTTCCACCGAGGGGGGTTAGGGGATAGGAACCATCAGTTTTGTGAACGGTTCACAGGTAAGTACCCCAATTGGAGCCGGTGTCATCCAGACCCTCTCAAAGTGAATCGCTCTAGAACCGCTCTGATTTTCCAATTGTTGGGAGGAGAGATGATTAAAGGAAAGGTTGGGAAATGACCTCATGGTTTAAGGGCTTCCATAGAAGGTCAGAGCCAGAAGTGACAGCCATCTGACTAATGCATGAAACTAACAAGTCATCAACTTCCTCCACAGAAGGTACGCTTGGATTTTGTTCTAATAATAGTGGGGGATCTACGTCTAGCTGTGAGACAATAGGCTGCAAAAGGACCTGAAGAAACATATGTTGGTGAGTAAATCAACCACAGAGAAAAAAACCCAAAAACGTCATGTATCCTTTGATGTAGGAAGCATATGCATATCATAAATGGGGTAAATTTCACAAGTAGTACATGACCTTTGGACATTTTTAAAATTAAGTAAATTCATTTTCTATCAAAAACTACACGAACTTCACCAAATCTTAGGTGGATGATGAGTTGGCTTCTAAATAAGCATTCTTATGAAAATGATTTTAGTCGATTAAGTCATCTACTAGTCATTTTGCTTTGGTGAAAGATCAGTTGGCTTCAAGTATTTTTTTTTGGTAGAAAATGAAGTTTTATTTCCATTCCCCTAAGAGCCAAAGATTCACTATTTTTTGGCTTTGGGGAATGATGGAATAAAGCAAATTGGCTATTTAAATTATCTGCGCTTCAGCAAAGTTTTATTTCCATTCCCCTACGCTTTTTTTTCTTGCATCATCAGTGATGCAAAAATACTTTGCTGAAGTATAACTGCTTAATGATTTTACAACATAAAGCATATCAGGGTATGGATATTATAACTTGCCTGGAAATTGGATGAGTCGAGAAACTTTTTAATTCCATTATCATAAAGGAAACATTTGTGCAGTGAAGATAAAATCAGTGCTCTTAGATGCCACGCTCCAACAGATATACCGCAATCTGCATCCTTGTTTGTTTCCGAACGCTTGGCTTTTTTCTTTTTCTGAGTGCCAGCATCTTTCCCATCTTCAACCTGTTTGAGGTGTCTTACACAATCCTCCAGCAAGTACTTGAAGTACGGGACAAACAGTGACCTGAAAGTTAAATTCAAACTCATAAAAACATCTCAAGTGTAGAACCAGAAAAGGTAATTACAAAAGCAACTCTGAAAAATATATTGCATCAATAGATTTTCTATTGGAACACACCCCCCCACCCCCTTCAATTTTAGTGGTTTGGATAAAAAAATTATCAACAAATAATAAGTTTTATTAAAAGTAAATTTACAATTTATTTTATTTAATACTCCTTCCGTCCCAATTTATAGCGCTCGTTTTGGTTTACGATGTTTGACTAAAATTATTTTAATATCATTTTATATGACAAATGGTATAGAGTTAAAAAATGAAAATTACATATCAAAATACTATATCAAAAGATCTACAAAACTAGTAGTGATAATAGTACTTTATTTTATCAAATTGTTAACGAAAAAAGAGAAAGAAAGTATATAATTCAATAAAGGTGGTTGTTTCATAAAGAAAAATATTGTTGGAAACCAATTGCATCATATTTTGCAGCATTGTTCTAAAAATTCCTGTCTAGCTCTGCACAGGTGTAGGCATTCCCTAGCAGCCTATGATATATCTACGCATAAGACTGCTTAGCTCTCATATAATGTCAAGGTAAGCACTCCAACACACCATTATACCATCTAGTATACTGTCAGGGGGGTTGTTTAACGCTTTTTAGAAGACTTTTGTGCAGCACTAAACAGTGGCTTTTTAAGAGATTATCCAAACATGTACACAAAGAACCTAGTCAAAAGAGAATCAAGGGCACTTGGCTATGCCATTGACCCAAATCACATGATCAAAATGTTTCAGAAGTCTCATTTTACTTTACCGTGACAATTATTTATTAGAAGCCCCAGACTGGAAAATTCCTAATACACCCCCGCACCCCCTCCAATTACATGCCCCAAAAAAAAACCATCTTTTAGATCATGCCACCTAGAGCTTCCATGAAAGAAACATGCATCAAAAACCATCTTTTAGATCATGTCATTAAGTAGACTGTAGACAACCAAAAAAAGTTCAGATCCATGGTGGAAGACATTTGAGTAAAGTGTTAGACAAGAACCACAAGTTTGGCCTCATATATAGTAGTTAAAAAAATAACACCACATTAACCATATAATCTATAAGAAAAAAACAGGTTTTCAGTAGACAAGAACCCCTCATATCGAATGCCTGAATGGGAGTAAACTCACCGATGGTTTTCAGTAAACATGTTCACCAAGCCATAGAATGAAATGATGCGATCGTTTGGGTTTTTTGTTTCATTTTCTTCAGCATTCGAGTTTGACCATTCAATGCTCTTAATAAAAAGAGGCCTGAACATAGTTTCTGTCAGCTTCATAGAAAGACCCACCATTGTATTAATGACACTTTTCTCTACAAGTTCAACATTTTTCACAGAAGCCAACAGCTGACGGCGAAGATCAAGTGCTTGCAAGCACATGTCAAAAATCTTGACATGATAAGCACCAATAGTTGATCTGTCCATGGTAGCAACTACATCTCCAAGCATTTTGAAAGCAATTGATAAACTACAATCCCCACATCTAATGGCATCAGGGTATATTGTCAGCAATGGAGAAAGGGAAAGACGAACCTAAAAAAGAACATGTATACAAATGTTAATTAAGTAGAAAAAATCATTGAAATCATGTCAAGGCAAAATGAAATACTTTGCAAACACTTACAGGGACTTTACTCGCTATGAGCTTTCTTATATCATCAGCTTTTAACTTCAACTGTACGTCTGATGTGGATGTATATTGAGGACACAACACAAGAAGTTCAAGAATATCACCCAGGTGTGGACTCAAGAACCCACCTAGCTTATCTACTACTGCATCTAAGGAAACAAGAATAGACATAAACACAGAGTTGCTTTCTTCGGATGATGCAATAAGACTGCCCTCATTTTGTTCACAAATTGATATAGCAGACTTAGAGCAACTGCGAAACTTCTGTATCAAGGCTCCCATGATACAAGGAAGCTCAGGCAGTGCTTTTGGCCCCAACACATTGACCAGTGCACCAGTGGCACGTAGGCATCCAGAAGAGACAGAAGAATTGTCCGCACATATACTTTTACAAATAGATGAAAGACACAAGTGGAAGACTGAGTTGTCTGAAGGGTACCGAAGAGCTAAAACTTCAATGGTCGAGACTGCTGCTACTTTCAATTGACTACTAGAGTGTTTGCCAGAATCATCAATAAATTTTAGTATAACTAGACACATTTTGTTGAACCCTTCCAAAGCAGCCTCATCCAAAAGAACCCATGGGTTTCTTGAGGTTGAAGTTAATTCTTTTTTCCCATGTTTTGAATCAATTGTAGCCGTGGACTTCACTGTATCACACAAAATTCCAAGGGCCTGCAATACAGTGAGATTTTACATACATACATACATACATATACATACATATACATATACATACATACATACATACATACATATATATATATATATACATACTACCTCCATCCCCCTATATTTGTCCACATTTGACTTTTGGAACTGTTCATCTAAGTACTTTGACTCATCAAATTCTCTCAATGTGTAAGCCTAAATATAGTCATGTGTGATCTTGTTTGATTTGTCTTAACATATAGATTATTAATATATAATTTTTATAATTTTTTAATATACAAATTACAAGATAAAATGAATTAAAGAAGTGCATTGGATTGTGTAAAAATGAAAGTGGACAAATACAGGGGGACGGAGGGAGTATATTAAAACAACTAAACTTATAACAAAAAACAAAATGAATTGTTGAAAGCTAAATAAAAGCAGCGAGTTATCCATGAAGCATCAAGATCTTCTGAATGATTATCACAGAAATGATAAAGTTTAATATAATACATCATTCATGCAATCATATAAAGTTATCCAAGGGAAAAAAACATGCTTCGGCAATACTAGAATGTTTTGAAGGTCGACACATCATGTGTTATAACAAAATTAAGGGTCCATTCCGTAGGACTTATTTTGTTTGCTTATTACTTATTCTTATTAAAATCAGATCTTCAGATCCAATCAGATCAGACTAGATCCAATCAAATCAGATCACATCCAATCAGATCAGATCAAATCCAATCAAATCATATCCATTCAGATTATATCAGATCTAATCAGATCCAATCAAATCATATCAGACCCAATCAGATCAGATCTAATCAGATCAGATCCAATCAGATCAGAACAGAACAAAATATAATAAAAATTAGTATTATTATTTGTTGTTGTTGTAATTATTATTATTATTATTTTTATTATTATTATTACTATTCTTACTCCATATTATTAAAGGAGAGTTGAACAAATGATACTTGTATTATACTCCCTCCGTCCCACAAAAAAGTTCCCATTTTGACCATAAATTGGTCAAACAGTTACACGCTTTGACCATAAATTAAATATAATCTAAATAAAGAAATGCTAAAAAATTTTAAGATATCAAAACTAGATCCTAAAATGAATCCAATTATACTAAATTTATTTTATAATTCAATATACTTTTCTCACAATTGGTAGTCAAAGCGTGTAAATATTTGACTAAATACTATTCAAAATGGGAACTTTTTTATGGGACGGAGGGAGTATTTAAAAAGACGTTTTGTAAAGTTAAAAATATTGAACATACATAATAGTATATTTAGGATAAAATTGAACAAGAATTTAATCAAATACTTTTATATTTTAAAGAAATTTTTAATAATATACTAATAATTAGTTATTGTTAATGATATTTTTATTTTACGGTTTTCTATTTATATATGGATTGTAATACTTTAAAATTATTAATATTATTTCTTGTAATAATTATAAGTTTAATTTTAACCAAATTTAAATTCATTTACACAAGATCAAATATAATCAGATCAGATCAGATCCAATCAAATCCAATCAAATCAGATCAGATCCAATCAGAACTTTCAAAATTCAGATCAGATTTAATCAGATCAGACCTACGGAACAGAGCCTAACTTAGAGCTTATTAAGTCTAGTGTATCATACCTACATTCCAACTGCATAGTATAGAGACATTAAATCGAAGAGATATATGAACTCGCATACCTTCTTTTTGACATTAATATCCGCATTTTCAAGCAATTGCACAACAATGTTGAAGTATATTGGAGGTCTTAGGCACTTTGAAACAGCCTTTAAGACAGACCGTATGTTCTCTCTCAGCTCCTTCCTGATTATAGGAATACCCATTTGATGCTTTTTGGATTCAACTAGCAGCAGGTGAGAGACCATATGTTCAAAAATAGAACCAATAGTTGGCTGCAAATAAATATTTCATAAAAAAATACACATTGTCAAAATAATTTCAACACATGACAGCACAATTCAAAAAAAGTTCATTATATAACGCACAGATAATACAATAAAAAGAATCAACAATATAATGACCTGCAAGCTTTCTGATATATCTCTTGTATCAAGCTTGAATGCAATTTCAGGATTTTGCAATTTATCTGAAGCAAAATGCTCTGCAACTGCCAAGATCATAAACATTTCTTCACTCCAACAATTTATTCCTATTTTCTGTAGCAGAATAGCAATAGAGGGAAGCCATACAGAGCAATCATATTGCTCAGATAACAGCACTGCAAATGTATACTCCCACTCCATTCTAATGCTAGAGCTACAGTAGCTTAGAGGGCTGGCATCACCAGTACATGCCAAATGCTTTTTTGAGATAAGTGAACGGAAGAGAAGAAAGAACAGTGCTCCCAAACTAGTATCCACTCCTAAGTTCCTGTTTAAAAAGATTCTTAGCAGAACTACAAAATGTGACTACAATCAAAATTAGAAATGATACAAAATTATACTTCAGTAGATGCATAACAATTGAAAGCCTTCTATGCTCCGCAACTTCTGGTAGAAAACTCACAAAGATCTGGAAAGGTAAGAGGTTAATTGTATTAGCACCTGAAGTACTAAGAATGTTCTTGGGAGGAAATACCAAGGCCACACAATACCTGTAGCAGATTGTCTATACTGTCAGTTTTAGACAACCAACATGGCACAATAGAAGAAATGAGGTCCTCGAAAACATGTTGGGAATAGCTGTCCCACTGCAAGAAAAACAATCAGCTTAGAAAAACTAATTAAAATAGAATAAAACTAATACTAAGAAGCACAGTATAGTTTTTATACCATGCTGCTAAAAAAAGCTAAGAAAAGGCGATTGAAACAACATATCAGGTTTTATAAGAAGATTGGATGAGCCATCAACTTTGTGTGTATAACAAGCAAAAAAATTGCAAAAATCATTTGAAGGAAAAAATAGAATACCAGACTAAAAGTAAAAAACATAGAACTTAGAAAGTAGCTCAAAGAGGAACCTGTGTCACAGTGGTTTCACCCACAATAATCAGAATATCCAAAATATGGTCCAAAACTCTGTTGGGCATGACCTTTGCTATCGTAGATAGCAATGATAAAACATGATTGCAGGTCACAGAATTGGTTGTAGAACGGGCACATCTGATTAAGAGTTCAATCTCAAGGCCTACTACATTATCCTGTCAAGATTCGCAACTGATAAGGACACAGGAAAACACATTCACATGCATTACAGCAGTTGATACACGAGTAAAAGAATTCACAAAACCTTTGCTGCAGCTGAAGTAGTAATATCTTCCAATAATAAAAGCAATGTCTGTTGAATGTTAATTACAGTAACATTCTGAGAATTTTCTGACGTAGGCAAAATAGTATCTGAGTGTGCTGCAAAATGATTCCAATCACTTTCCATAAAGACCTTGTGAAGAAGCTTGAACAACGGACCTAGAAGAGAGATTCTGTACGCAGAATATTGGTTACTGTGAGCATAAGGTATAAATACAAATCGCAGGGCAGATATAACAGTGAATGAAATAAAGTGAAGGCAACATCAACCTGTTCTCCAGGTTTTTCTTCAACAATAGAATATCAAGTAGTGAGCTGGTAAAAGCAAGTGGATCTACGGCCTTAGGAATCAAACCACAAACATCAGAATCTTGATGGATCGCTCCTTTCTTTTTTCTCCTTCCATCTGCTGAGCCTAGAGTATTAGTTTTCACACTTATGATGTAATCAAGCATGCGTGCAACAATGGAGCAACTAATCTGAAAGAATAAAGAAGCCAGACGTTAGCTGGAGAGAAAACCAAGCATATTACATCATCTGAATACAAAAGAAACGAACCACATATTGAATAAAATTTTGTTACAAATAGACAAGTGATAATGTTCTGGTGAATACTTTAATGATGCAAGCAAAAATACTGTTAAAGTGGATACATATTCAGAACAGACCTTATAGTTAATAGACACTATAAAGATATTAACTTATTACATCAAAGATAAAAGCATGACCATTTTAAGATTTAAGATAAATGTGGGGGACTTCACCATAGTCATCTAAATAGATTGAATACAAAAAGCTCTATAGAACTGATTTGTACTCCATAAAAACAAAAAAATACCAAGGGAAGCATACTCTAAAGAACCTATATGGCAAAATGCATATAATGGGATGTGCGGGAAGAGAGGGGAGAGAGAACAAACATCAATCCGGAGCAAGACCCCTTTACTAGCATCTTGTATTTCACTATTGGCAGCCCGAAACAGACACACAAGGTCTCGAACGAGAATCTCCTGCAATAATGACAAACTGAGTCATAAAACAGGGTATACAATGAATCTTGAATGCCAAGAAATACAGGGTAAACAAATCACATTTCAACCGTACAGTGCAGTAGGATGGATTTTCATATTAAGATGTGACCAAATGTAAATTAAATCCTAGCTCGCAATACCAATTGTTTATGCAAATCATAAAGCATTCTTCCGGACAAGGGTAAACTGCAATGATAATGTATCTAACTGTATTATGTACCTGAGTTGCGGTTTCTAACATTCCAAAAAGAGAATTGGTAAGATTCCTCAGAACAGTCACACAGGGCTCCACAACAGCTGGGTCTTCAGACGGTACAGCACTGAACTGCAAGTATATGGCAATGTCACATGTCTATCAAATGAGAGCTCATAGAATAAATGTGACAACAGAAAAGACAGGCTATGGAAAAATAATGCAGAAAAAGAGGCAACAAACCTGCAGAGCCATCATTATTGGGTCCTTCAAATCCTTACCAGCAATACAAATAGAAGGGCCGGTACAGATCTGAAAGACAGAGATTACTCCCTTAAATTTATCTGAAGGATTAACATATAATTATATCAACTAGAATATTTAAACTTTGAGCTTACATCTAATAGAAGGCAAAGAATGGAAACTTCTTCCTTTGACAATTTAGGATATGATTTATCATATCCAAGGTGATATTCACCGCGCCTTTTCAGAAGCTCACATAGATGTGACTTGACACCAGCAATGTGCATTAGTACGCTTCCTAAGCCTTTAAGTAGTGATAGAATTCTTAGCTGCCACCAAAAATGAATGACATTCAAACAAGTTGACATTTCTAAATGTAGACTTAAGCAAGTACAAGTAAATTACAATATTTTAATACATCAAACAACCAAAGCGTAGATACCAACCTTTGCATAAGCAGAAAGTCCTAGACCATAACATACAATGAAAACCAAGATTTTATCTTTTGTTTTCTGATCAAATCTGCAAAATTTTGATAATATGAAAGCCTTCCAATTAGGATTTAGAAATAACATAGCAGTGCAAAACCATTAAGTTGTTAAGAGCATTAAGCATTAGCACAAAATTGAAACATTTAAGCAACCTCTTTCCAATATTATGCTGCAATAAAAGGCTCTGGTTTGAAGAGCTTAGCAATGATGCTAGGAAAGATGGGAGAACATTCATGTCTGAGATAATCAGCTTCTTCTGCTGAACCATTAAGGCCAACAGATCTCCAAGAAAATCGACCCAAACAGCAGAAAGGCCTGTTATTTTCTGGGGTTAGAAGATTTTACAAGTTATAAAATAAGTAAGCTCAAGAAGCACTATAAGAGCGTAAGGCACCATTTTTAAATTTGGAGAAATTAACTCGTGACCACATAGTCTGAAGTGCTTCAATACAGCTCATGGCTGCCATCCGCACACACTGGCCACAGAAGATAAACATATTAGAACTGAGAGCATACTAGCACTGAATTATGATTCTAAAAAAAGATCAAAGTGTGTGTCAAAACCCTTAAGATAAATTTGTAAAGATGTGTATATTCCTTGAAAACTTTAACCTAATTATAGTGCATAAATATATGAAATCAAACCTGGTTATCATTTGATAATGGAACAAGAACTGAAGGAAACTCAGCAAAGAGTTGAAATGCAAGGCTGTCTTCCGTTTGAGAACAAAGATATGAAAAAGAATGAAGACTCTCAATTTGTAGCTCTGCTGAATGACCTGGGATAAAAACCATATAAATTCTTAATTAAACAAACAAACAAGTAAATATTGTTATGAAGACAACAACAACAACCAAGTTGAATCCCCCCAGAGTATGGTCTGTTGGTTAATTCCAGTCCAGAATTTAGTTTAAATTTAAAAAAATAAATAAGAAAAAAAAGGAGGCAGTTACTAGTTAGGCAGTTTTTATGACAGTTTTCAACAGATGTGTTGGTTAGAAACTGTTGTGTCTATTTGTAATGGTTGTGTTGTTTAGTCCTCTATTTATATGTATGGACACGAAGTTCTGGACAGCAGTTCCACAATAAAAAACACTCTGTTTATATACTCCAGATCTGTTTTTTTCTCTCAATTGGTATCGGAGCCCTGGTAAAGAAAAAAAATCAAACACAGATCTGTGATCGGTAGTTTTCTTGCAATACACCTTGAAAAAAAAACCGTAGTCTGTGATGGAAGCCATTAAAACAAACGAGGTTGTTGCTGTTACCCCAGTTCGAGATGGAGGCTCGACAACGTACCAATGTCCTATACTCACTACAACAAATTATACGTCTTGGGCTATCAAGATGCAGCCGTTTATGGATGCCCAAGGAATTTGGGATGCCATAGAACCACCGGATGCAACGGAGGTGGACGTCAAGATCCGGAAGAAGGCAAGGGCCTTTATCTTCCGGGCACTACCGGAAGACATTTTGATGCAAGTAGCAGGACATGCAGAGGCCAAGGACGTGTGGGATGCACTTAGGGTGCGTTATCTTGGAGCCGATTGGGTTAAACAAGCACAAATCCAAACTCTGAACAGAGAGTTTGAACTGCTGAGAATGAAGGAATGTGAGAGTATTGATGATTTTGCAAGCAAGATCAGCAAGATCGTGTCTAAGGTTTGGGCACTTGGATCGACAATTGAGGAGAAGAAACAAGTAAATAGGTTGCTTAATTCTGCCACAAACAAGTTCCTTCCAATTGTTGCCACAATAGAACAGTATTCAGACTTGAATACTATGGCGTTTGAGGAAGCTGTTGGTAGCCTTAAGGCCTATGAGGAACGGATTGCTACCAGTCAAAGATTCATCAGATCAATTGCTGTTAACAAGGGCTGAATGGCAAGAAAGACAGAAAACCGAGTCAAGGCAAGCCGACAGGGGTCGTGGAACAGGATTTAGTGATTACCGTGGCCGAGGTCGTGGGCGTGGCAGATCTAGCGGTCGTGGACGAGGGGGGCGAAACCCCTCATATAATAATCGAAGACTTGGACGGGATGAACAAGGTGGTAAGCGTGACCGAAGGAACCTGCCGTGTTATAATTGTGATAAGCTTGGTCATTTCTCTACCGAGTGTCGGGCTCCTAGAAGAACCGATGATGAAGCTAATCTAGCAAAGGAGGATGATGAACCCACTTTGCTAATGGTAAAGAATGTACAAGATGTGGTGATGCTGAATGAGGAGAGAGTGTTTCCTTGTAAATATGCCAAAGAGAACAGCGAGGAAGGCACGTGGTACTTAGATAATGGTGCTAGCAATCACATGACCGGGGAGCGGGGTTATTTTAGCAACCTCGATGAAAAAATAGTGGGACGTGTGAAATTTGGAGATGGTTCAATAGTTGAAATCAAAGGCAGAGGGTCTATTCTTTTGCAATGTAATAATGGTGACCAGAGGCTCATCACCAACGTCTACTATATTCCGGACTTATGTAATACTCCCTCCGTCCCAAAAAGATTTACACGTTTCAAAAAAATTGCGTCCCACAATCCCTTACCCATTTCTATTAAAAAACCACTTTTACCCCTTACTTTTTCAAACCCTACCTATCATATCATACCTTTTTTCTAATAATCTACACATCACATCCTACTTTTACCCATCACATCAAGGGTATTTTTGGAAAGTCAACACAAAATTATCACTCCCTTAATTTTAACTTTAGTCAAAATGGGTAACACTTTATGGGACGGAGGGAGTAATATACTAAGTTTGGGCCAACTTGACGAGGTGGGATGTAAAATTGTTATGGAGGACGGTTTTCTTTGGCTATATGACCGTTCAAGAGCAACATTGATGAAAGTGAAGAAGTCCCTAAACCGACTATACAAGGTACATCTTCATATAGTTCCAGCAACATGTTTACTTGCAAAGATGGATGAGGCGGCCTGGATTTGGCATGCACGCCTTGGACATTTAAACTTTGATGTTATAAGGAAGTTATCAAAAGAAAAATTGGTGATTGGTGTGCCAAACATAAATCACAAGTCACAATTGTGTGAAGCTTGTCTCGTTGGGAAGCAACATCGTCTTCCATTCCCATCCCTAATTTCTTATCGAGCACAGCAACCCCTTGAACTGATACATGCTGATCTGTGTGGTCCTATTACACCGAGTACACCATCTGGGAACAAGTACTTTTTATTGCTAGTTGATGATTTCAGCAGATTTATGTGGGTATATGTTATCAAGTTCAAAGGCCAAGCATGTGAGGCATTCAAAAAGTTCAAGAAGTCTGTAGAATTGGAAAGTGGTTACAAGGTGAAAGAAATGAGAACTGATCGTGGAGGTGAGTTTGTCTCTACCAACTTTGAACAACTTAGCAATGAAGAAGGTATAAATAGGTATTTAACTGCACCATATACGCCACAACAGAATGGTGTGGTTGAACGCTGAAACCAAACTGTTCTTGGAACCACAAGATCTATGTTGAAGGCCATGAATATACCGCAATGGTTGTGGGGAGAAGGTGTACGACATGCTGTCTACATCTTGAACAGAACTCCGACAAAAGCTTTAGAAAAGAAGACCCCATATGAAGCCCTAAAAGGACGGAAGCCCAATTTGGAAAACCTAAAGGTGTTTGGATGTATGGTGCATGTCAAAGTACCAACACCCAAATTAACAAAGCTGGTAGACAGGAGCGAGGCAATGGTACATCACGAAGTGAACCAGGAAGCAAAGCATATCGACTTTACAACCCAAAGACAAAAGGGTAATGTGTTAGCAGAGATGTTTAATTTGAAGAAAACAAAGCGTGGAACTGGGCAGAAGATTTGGAGACAGGGAAATGAAAAGCGAGTTGAATTTGTTGTTGAAAATGAAGCTTGTGTGACTGGTCAAGGATTGACTCAAAATGGTGGCAGCCCACTCAATACCTCACCCAATCACACTGAAGACCTGGCTGCTCCAAACATACAGAATGGGTGTGAATTTGTTAGCACACCGGAGAATTGTTCGTTGTCTAGCCCAAAGTCGCCTGCCTCGGTTCCAAGCACTCTTATCAGCACACTAAATGTTCCAAACAGCCCGCATGGGTTTGAAAATCTTAGTACATCAGGTGCAAGTCATATTTCAAGTTCACATTATGATGATACACCCCCTCGAGGATTTCGCCACCTAAATGATGTGTATTCAAGAACTCAATTGATACAAGAGAAGGCTTTCAATCCACCTCACTTTGATGACGCAGAACTATTACTATCCAATGAAGAACCAAGTACCTTTAATGAAGCCAAAGATAGCAAAGAATGGAATGCTGCAATGCAAGACGAATTGGACTCTATAGAAAGGAATGGAACCTGGAAATTGGTTGAACTCCGTTAAACCGATTGGTCTAAAGTGGGTTTATAAAGCTAAAAGGGATGCCACAGATAATATAATTCGCTATAAAGCGAGACTCGTTGCGAAGGGGTATGTCCAAAAACATGGTATTGACTACGATGAGGTGTTTGCTCCAGTTGCTCGAACAGTCTGTTTGCTTCTATCTCTAGCTGCACGAGATGGTTGGGAAGTTCACCATCTTGATGTGAAGACGGCTTTCCTTCATGGAGACTTAAAGGAGGATGTATATGTATCACAACCCGAGGGGTTCGAGAAGCCGGGAAAGGAACATCTTGTGTACAAACTGGTAAAATCTTTATATGGCCTGAAGCAAGCCCCAAGAGCCTAGAATTCAAAGCTAGATGCAACTCTACAACAACTTGGTTTCGAGCGTTGTCCACGTGAACATTTAGTATACAAGCGAACCACAAAGAATGGACCATTAATAGTTGGTGTATACGTTGATGGTCTAATCATTACATGTCCATGCAAGGGTGAGATTGTTGGGTTTAAAAGACAGATGAAAAACTGTTTTGAAATGAGTGATTTGGGGCTTCTAACATACTATTTGGGAATAGAGGTGAATCAAGACAAAATTCGCATTACTTTGAAGCAAACAGGATATGCAACAAAGGTTCTAAAAAATGCAAATTTGTGGGAGTGTAATCCTGCAAAATTTCCTATGGATCCAAGTCTCAAGCTTGGAAAAGACGAGGGCTGGAGTCTGTTGATGCAACTGAGTACCGAAGGATTATTGGGTCTCTTCGATATCTAACCCATACAAGACCAGATATGAGTTATGCAATTGGAATAACCAGTCAATTCATGGAGTCACCAAAAACATCACATATGCAAGCTGTAAAACAGGTGCTGCGATATTTGAAGGGTACAATCAATTACGGGATTCGATACACGAGGAATGGCGATGCAAGTTTGGTTGGTTATAGTGACAGCTCACATGCCACTGATCGGGCAGATGGAAAGAAAACAACTGGGATGATTTTCTATTATGGGGGTGGTCCGATAGCTTGGAGTAGCCAAAAACAGAACACAGTTGCACTATCTTCATGTGAGGCTGAGTTCATGGCGGCAACGGCAACCGCATGTCAAGCTGTCTGGTTAAAAGGTTTGCTTGAAGAAATCACTAGCCAAAGCATGGAACCCATAACAATTCACGTCGATAACAAGGCTGCAATCATGTTAATGAAGAATCCAGTGTTCCATGGGAGAAGTAAGCATATTGACACTCGATATCATTTCATTCGTGAATGTGTCGAGAAAGAGCTAGTAAGGATTGAGCATGTTAGTGGTGACGAGCAAAAAGCTGATATCTTGACTAAAGCATTACTGAGGGTCATGTTTATCCAGATGAGGCAACTAATGGGCATTGAAGATTTGGCAGGAATGAAGACTGGAATCAAGGGGGTGAATGTTGGTTAATTCCAGTCCAGAATTTAGTTTAAATTTAAAAAAATAAATAAGAAAAAAAGGAGGCAATTACTAGTTAGGCATTTTTTATGACAGTTTTCAACAGATGTGTTGGTTAGAAACTGTTGTGTCTATTTGTAATGGTTGTGTTGTTTAGTCCTCTATTTATATGTATGGACACATAGTTATGGACAGCAGTTCCACAATAAAAAACACTCTGTTTATATACTCCAGATCTGTTTTTTTTTTCTCTCGTGGTCTTGGGGGGAGGGGGTACGGAGACCTTGCCCCTACTCAAAAGTAGAGAGGCTGTTTACAAGAGACCCCTGGCTCAAGCAGCACAGATATCATTTAAGATAATATAAGATCATAGAAGACGCATAAAGCACAGAGCAGCATGAGGCAATGGGCAAACTAATGAAGGCCTTACTTTCAATAAAACACAGGGTATTGATGGAAGAAATCCGCCATTGACAATATGTAAAGAATACCAAACCAAAAAAACCCTAAGTTATTCTTTTGCAGCGTGACATGTCATCTTTAGAAACATGCTCTTCTTATTCAAGGGAAAAACAAGTAGTTTAGAGATTTTCCTGCTAGAAGGAAAAATGCAGACAACGTGATGTTTGGTGCATATAACTTTCTAAAACTGTTATGTCATTTACCAAACAAATACTCCCTCCGTCCCCATTTTGATTACAATTTTTTTCTCTTTCCTCTTGATAACATTTGTTTATTTCCGCGAGTTTCCGAGTTCATTAAGTATTTCGAGTTCATTAAGTATTTGATAAAATAAAATATTTTTGTTACCTCTTGTTTTGTAGAACTTTTGACATAATTTTTTAATATGTAACTTTTATTTCTTATTGATATACCGATTTGTAAATAAAATGATTTCAAAAAGTAAGAAATTTTTCCTCGTAAGGGACGGAGGGAGTATGTTATTTTGAACACAAAAAGTTCTCTTTTTTGTTTAGTTTCGAACCATGCAAACCAGTATATCCTTAATTCATTGCCAACTCAACTAAAAGGGTCACTATTGACAACGCTTTAGCTTCGGGTAAATAATGGACTAAATAAAAATGTCATAAAACTTCAAGTAATTATTTCTTCCTATAAAGTTTAGGGGAGTGAATGCAGGCAATGCATCAAAGGTCTAACCTAAAAATTTTGTGTTTTAATAAAAGGTCTAACCTAAACATTTTGTGTTTTAATAAAAAGGTCGAACCTAAGAATTCTACGTTCATTAGAGTGGTATAAATACATATATCTTGACCATCTAACAGAGTTGGGATTCTAATGGGGTTTGTTTTTCAATTTCTTTTTTTCGGGTCTGTTGGGGAAACAACTACACCCAAGAATGCCAGAAGCCCGGAACATTATCAACACTTAAAACCAAAGTTTCTACGAAATGAGAAAGAATATGCCAGGTAAGCATTTGAGGAAGATGAAGTTAAAACCTTCTTCAGTGAAGAATTTAGACAAGTAGCGAGATGGAGAAATCTTGCAGTTTGTAACAAGGTAATCATGATGCTTCTTGAATGTATGTTTTGATTGGGACATGAAAAAGACATGCAGGTCTTGAAGAGAGCAAACCCACTTCTCATTCTTGTCCTGATAGCAGAAGATAAAGACACACATAGATTAATAGGTAAGAACGACAATTTTCACCTGATTATCTACAAATCAAAATATACAGATAAAAAGAGAAAATGAAAAATATACAGAGGTCTAACAAGGGAAAATGGAAGTTGCACCAACCAATAATACATCTTCTGGTGCATTTGAAATAAAAGTCTCAAGTAATCTCCAAAACACACAGACAAGAATCTCTGCATTTAATTCTTTTATTTTAGTGACATCCATGCGTTCCAAGAACCTTTTGTGGCCTCCATCCATGTCCACGTTAAACTGAAGATAATGTAAGATTGAGAACAAGCGTAATTAACTCAACAGGTTTGGAAAATTGTTTAAGCTTGTGTGCCTGTGTGTATGATTGGAAACAGTGTAAAAAACACTACAACAACAAACAACCCAGTTGAATCCCACAAAAGTAGGGTGTGGGGAGGGTGTGTGTTCGTAGACCTTATCCCTACTCGAAAGTAGAGAGGCCGTTTCCAAAGAGACACCCGGCTCAAGCACCACAGGTAATCACGTACGCAGCCTGACCCATATGCTCGAAACATAGAGCAGCTGTTTCCGGACGACCCAAGATGAACGTCAAATATTGCATTGGAAACAGTGTCAAATGAGAACTTCTTTACCGGACTTGCAGATGTAACATTCCCTGATGACTTGAGCATTTCCCACTGAGTTTTTAATATTGGAAAGCAAATGTTGAACAACGTCAAACTCTGGTCCCCTGAAACAAACAAACAAACAAAATGAAAGGATGCTGGGAAAAGGATATACATATTACTCCAGAATATAAACATGATATCTGATCTTAATAGTTTAAGGTATTCCGATAACCTACAATCCATATTACCAAACTTATAACGAAAAAACCCAAATTATAAAGGGAACAGAAGACAAGGGTTTATAATCAAAACATTAGTTCAAAATGTTAGCTGACAACTAGAGATGAAGAATGACTACTTTTCTTCGTGTATGAACAAAATACCGATGAAATGTATCACACATATACTCCCTCAATCCCAAAAAAAGGTTCCACATTCCTATTCACATGGTCAGACTCCATCTTCTTTCATCACATGTTTCCATTGATTATTTGACAAAATAAAATAGTCATGTCACCTCTTATTTTATAGAACATTTGATGTATTTTTAAAATATATAATTTTTAATTTTAACTTTTGTGCCAATTTTCAAAAAAAAAATCATTTGAAAATAACTTCAGTCAACCTTTTTATGCAACGGAGGGAGTATCCTATAGGTCAGGGATCATACTAGCCAGAAGATCCTGCTTAAACACAGTGGCACAAGAGATCACACTATAGATGCACCATGAGCCATTTAACATGATATGCTAACCAACTTAGTAAATATTTTCTTTCTGTTTAAAAGAGCCCTTAAATAAAAAAAAGGCAATACAATATGAGACAGTAAAAAACATGATGCGCTAATAGGATGAAAACACATAAACCAATGTGCAAGTACCTATTTCTGGCAACGTGAGTAGGTCCAATAAAACCAATAAGAACAGTGTTGTTGATTGCTCCGATGCATTGCAGCATTCTACCATCCAAGGAAGATACTCTTCAAGATGCATTACGAGAGTAGTTGCCAATGTGTGGACATTTTCTGCATTTACCGAGGATATAGAGCTAGCATCCAATATCTACATTTTTTTAACATTAAATTTCATTATCTTCAAGGAAAAAAGGTAGCAAATGTTTCCTTACATACATATATGAATAAAAGATAAATGTTTCAACAACTCATAACCTTCTTATGCTCTGACACACATGCAAGCTTGGTATACAAAGGCCACTTTATTTCCCTGGCCATTCCCAAAGCCTTTGCATTCAATTCACGTGTCTACAAAAAAGGAAAATAAAATATATGTAGTGGTAAGCAAGATATGAGGTCTTCAATCAATTATAAAATTAGTCATTAAAGCTCATTTTAAAACCTTCGGAAAAATCAAGATCAATGGGAAAACTAATGCTGCAAATTTCTTAGCAGAAAACCCAATCTCTTGGCAACTTGACACAGAATGCTGAAGACAGCCCACAGCAACATCAACTGCTAAAGAGGACTCATGCACTGAACCTATATGCAAATAAAATATTAGCAGAAAGCATATGTCTATGCAGATGATTTCTATGACAACAGAACAATAATTGCAACTTCATCAAACATCATACTCACTCGATGCCAAAGTTCCAATGCATCTTTGAAGCACATTCTGAAGTGCATCTTGAAGAAATGAAGGATTTACTAGTTCAGCTAGTGCCTCCAGATTTAAAACTGCTTTAACAACACTTAGGTCATCATCATAAAGCCTATTTGATATTGCATCTTGAATAGTACCAAATCCCTGGATTACAAGAGAAAAATGTTTTAGAAACCCACATGCGATGCTCCACAACATTTGCTAGGAATTATATATGGTCATGTAGTTGCAGTTCCACAAGTGGTTTTATCCAAAGTAGTTTTTATGGGAAGCACTCCGTAGGTTCTTTCTTTCAAACTAAAAACATACTCCCTCCCTTCCAAAAAAAACCTTCTTTCCATTTTCATCCGTCCCAAAAAAAATCCTCTTTCAATTAAAAGCACCTATTTGTCCCTATTAATTACTAACCTACTTATCTCATCTTACCTATTCATTATTACCCTACCCATCACATTTATCTACCCTACCATAAAGCAAGGGTAAAATGGGAAAGTAACACCCAAATTATACTTACCTTAAATATCATCTTTAACAAATGTGGAAAGGCTTTTCTAGAACGAGACAAAAAATAGTGTTCTTTGGGTAAAACTTATATTAAACTGGTCAAAACAATTAATGATAGTATGTTTATGGATGCACAAAAACACTTAGAATTTCCAAAACACAACCAAATACGCCCTATAAATAAGAGACAACACTAATAAATTCTGCCTCATGAAGATCACAATGGAACAATAAAACAAACACTTGAAACATGGTGGCAAACAAAATATTACCAGAGAACTAGCAGCCTTTTCCTTTAACAAACTTGGCACATCCAACCCCAAAATAGTAGAGCGGCGAATCTCTGCCTGTATGCCAAAAAAATGAAGTTTCTCTAATCACATATCATCATATCCATTGGATTTATTTGTATCTACTCCTAAGTTATAGTTGTTAAAGCAATTAGGCAAGGCACCAAATGTACCTTCACATCACCTAATCGATTAGGCTCTAGCCTAGGTGACTATATGCGAGTGCGATATGGCGACATTCATACATACATAGGGCATTGGTTCCTTATATTAGCACCTGTCTTATGTATATATAGTCGCTTTTAATATGTACTTATGTGTAATTAAGAAAACCTCTGATTATCAATTACAAATCCAACATTCCCACCAAAGCATACACCCATTCGATGCAAGACAGCTGGAGACACTACGCCACTACAGTTCTGATTAAACTGCCTTTACTAGTCACTATATTGGCAAACATATAGTGTATGCCAAGACATTGTACAACAAAAACAACAACCCAGTTGAATCCCACAAAAGTAGGGTTTGGGGAGAGGGTGTGTACACAGACCTTACCCTAGCTCAACCACTCACTGTAGGCACATAAAGCAGAGAAAGAAAGGGACACAAAAAATGCAAAAACTAAAAATAACAACAGAAAAGAACGGCAAGCAGAAAGCACACAAGGAAACACACAACAAGTGAGAAAACTACCACCCACCTACCCTAATCCTAGCTGTCCAACAGTTCATGTCTATGGCCATATCCTCGGTAAGGGTCACAGGCCTTAGGTCCTGTCTAATCACCTCCTTCCAATTCTTTCTAGGTCTACCCCTATGCCAAGACATTGTATTTGTGTGATGAAGTTCAAAAAGCTTCTCCAATTATTATTATTATTATTATTATTATTATTATTATTATTATTATAGCTTCTCCAATTATTATTATTATTATTATTATTATTGTTGTTGTTGTTGTTGTTGTTGTTCTTGTTATCATTATTTTTATTATTATTACTACCACTATTATTATATTCCCTCCGCCCCCATACATCTTCCTATTACTTTTTTTTAACATTTCAAATACCACAACTACCCCCACTTAATTTATCACACCTCACCCACCTCATTTAATATACTTCACTCACTTTTATTAAGGGTATCTTAGTAAACTTTCACTTTTTTTCAACTCTCCTTAAGAATCACAAAAAGTTAACTTCAGAAGATCCAAGACAGATGGAGGGAGTAGCTATTATTATTATACATGATTGCTATGTATTGTGGATCCAAGGCAGACTGTTGTCATCATTCTTGTATTCTTGATTCTTCTCTTGATTTATTTTCTTCATGCAAATGCATTATTTTCAGAAGAAAATCAATACATACAAGACACAATTAATACTTCATCCCATTCATTGAAGGTGGTGGTCTTCACAAACTTCTCTAGAAAGTGAGAGGAATATTAGTACCTTAGGATGCTCCAAGGAAAACCATAGTTTTGAATAAAGTAGTGTTTGTGAGAAATCCTTATTCCCATCTAGCATCCGACTTAGCATTTCATGATTGGATCCCTCTTTCTTGGACTGCATTTTGGCATTTATTAAGAGGTATATAAAAAGAACGAAAAGAATGATACACAATAAGAAGTGGTATACAAGTGGGATCCAATTAAACCTGAAGAAAATTGTTAACTGCATTTCGCAGCTCAGATGGATACTTCTTATGTATAGATGCCACAATTTGTTCAGCCAAATTTCCTATTACATTTATACAAAAATATAAAAACTAAAAAATCTTAGAAGAAAAATAAAAATATATATCTTATCTCAAAGGATTAATATACATTTAAATAAATTTAATTTTAAAAAATTTATCCTTTTAACATAAAAGATAATCACATATGTGAACTTCATGTTGTGTCAGAAATGAATATATATTATGGTAAACAGAACTAATCATTACGAGTTCAGATAGTGAAAATGCAAACCTGTGTTAGAGGCTGTTGAATCTCTGTTCTTATATAGCCTTGCACATGTATTTAGAATCTTTGTGACTATACGATCAACAAAGCGTTTCACGGGAACATTCTCAATTATCAGTATTAAAGTCTGATGGAATAATTCATCAGAAAAACTGGAACACAATACCGTACAGTTAGACCAAAGCCAAAACAACACATTACAGTAGCCTAGAAAAGAAAAAATAATCAATCGATTATAGAGTTAAAAGCTTAACCTGTACTCAAGTAGAGAGTCCAAAAATATGCCCAGGAACTTATCAATGTTGAACTCTTCTGCCAGACCACTGAGAATTTCCGGAACATCCCTTTTAAAAACGAAGAAGTAGTATTGAACAGTTAGATTTGGCGAAAATTAAATGAAAAGAATAATGAACACACTCATTTATTTGTATCTATATAAATACAAAGGCTAGCAAGCACTACCTGATCTCATTCAGAATGTCCATGCTCTTCTTTGGAATTAATTCCACGGCTTGCAACTGGAGAAGGAAAGTTCAAATAAGAACAAGACGTTAAACTTGAAATTTCAGTTAGTGGATAAGATTTACTAATATGGCTAAAATATAGAGCAAAATATGTAAGCCAACTGTCAACCACTGGGAAAAAATGCATACAGAAGAGTCTAAGACTTCATGGAGCAGTTTGCATCATGAGTAGTCCAGCCATAAATGCAAAATCAATCAAATGAGGAATTATATTCTAACAAATATTGTATAACTGAAAACCATGTGAGTTTTGTTCATATCCGCCAAAACATATTAATACCTGAACAAGGTTCACCAGGGCCATAAAGGACATACGAAACCATTGTACATCAGTTGAATCCCTTGCAACACTGCTAGACACGTCTGCTAGGAAGCGAATCAAGCTTCTAACAACATTGGGTGATAGGGCTACCTTATCAGCTAGCAGGCTTACAATCATCAAGGCACCCGCCTAACAAATAATCAAGTCAGTAAGTAATTAGGATGATCTAGAACTTTATGTGATCTGCATAAAGATAATATGGTTCACCTATACATGACAATAAATTCTGAAGAAACATGGAAATACACCCATTAATATTGCAACAATGCAACCAGGCATGGGCACACCAGAAATCAAATCCTTGTATTAATTTATAATCACTTTTTTACATCTGTGAGCAAGAGCACCCCGAGAGAGAAAACAAACAGCAGATACTTAGCACACAAGACAAAAGTCTTGGTCATTCAGAACAAACCTTTTGATCATCACCTCGTTTACCACGATGTTGAAGTCCAGAAGTAACATAAGGTAGAATTCTCTTCACAACATCACTGTCAATAGTCATTAGGGAGCCCAACACCTCAACAACCACAGCAGTACAGAATCCAATTACAGGCACAGATGGTTGAACCTTCTTTGTTGGTGTGGCCTAATATAACATAAATCTTCAGTCACGGGAAATGAAGAAAGTAACAGATGACAAGTGGGGAGTTAATGTGCAGCCTGGGTGCTTACATATTCGCACAAAGTTTCTAAAACCCCCATATCACGTAGACATTGTTGCACGATAACCTTCCTAGGTGGTGGTGCACAAGTACTCTTCACCCCATCAAGAAATCTCCATCTTGTATTCCTGTGGACGTGTAATTTGTAAATTTTGGTTTGATGCCAAGAAATAACTTCACAATAATGTGCATGACAAAAAGAATTTGCATTACCCTGTGTCTATTAGTTGGATGATTCGAACAAATGTATGTGTGTCGTGGTATGGCAAAGAACATAAAATTAACTCCTCTTTATTATAGACATGAATCCTGAAATTTCAAAGTTGAAGTAAATCAGACACTAAAAGCAACTCACAAATATGTAAGGGAATATATAGTCAAATGAGTATATTATTACAAGGAATAAAGCTTTTAAAGCAACAAACTGGAAACCTTACTTGTATCTTCGAATCAAATACTCTAATGTCTTTAACGACGAAGGCAGCTCAAAATATCCAGACAGTAGCCGCAAATATGAACTGATTGATGAATCGATTCTGTTGTTTTCATCAATCCCCATCAATTCCCTATCCAAATCTCTACTTTTGGGACTAAATAAGTCATTTTTGTAATTACTGAATCTTTCTTCAGTACTTATTAGCACATCCAGGCCTGAAACATAGAATATCAAGTAACATTAAAGAAATGCAAACTTATAAATAAAAACAGTTACCAAATGTACTATCTCCGTCCCAAAAAGATTAGTTCACTTTTCACAATCACCAATGCAACATTTAGACCGTTAAAAACTACTCTCTTCGTCCTTAAATTATCGTCCCAATTTGACATTTTTCGTCATTTTGACCACAAGTTGTGAAAAAAAGTATACTATGTTTTTAGTTATACTATATATTTAATATGGATCATCTAAAACCCCTCTTACCCCACAATGGGCGGGTGCCTTCGAGGCACTGGGGTAATTTTGTTGTTGTATTGTATATAATTGAGTTCATTTTGATGTAATTTTGCTCTATCAAACTTTTATAGTCCATAACATTTATTTATTTGAAAATTAAAACAATATTTAATTTATGGTCAAAGAGAGGACAAAAGTCAAACTAGGACGATAATCTTGGGGCGGAGGGAGCTTATTAGTGCCTAAATAAGTGTTATAAAAAATGATACTCCCTCAATTCAAAAAAAGGTTCCACCTTTGACATGGCACGGAGATTAAGAAGAGAGAAGGCGATGCATAGAAGAGAGAAATTATAAAAGTGGAAAGTAGAACCTTTTTTTGAGACAAGCGAAAAATGAAATATGGAAACCTTGTTATGGGACAGAGGGAGTATTCAATAACTACATTAAATAAATGAAATTAATCTAATTATATTAAATTCGCATTATTAGTATATTTATTTCTCCCGGAGGTTTTAGTCAAAGTTTGTGAACTCAAATAGACGCATGTTTTTGGGACTGCCAGACAGGGGTAAAATTTAAGAGAGGGAGTTCCAGAGTTCAAAGATTCAATTTTTTTTATATTTCCATGGTCTTAAGCAGATGAAGAACTAAGATAATCAAAAGAAACGACTAAAATATTGCATGTAACCACCAATAAGAATGGTTAAAAGGAAAACTAAACAATCCCACAAAAGCTGCATTCCGAATATAACTATCTCTGCCACTAAAGAGAGACTCTTCTTAAGTACGACTTCCAACAGAAACGGAGCATTTTTCTTCTAATTCATTGAAAAGGGGGAGTGTAACCTGTGAGAGCGATTGAATAGATGGTCTCGACGTCTATGTCCGCTGCTTCGGTTGGTTGGAACAAGATTGAAGGCCGTGAAAATGGCCGTTTCTGCGGCTCTGAATCAGAGACTACTAGGGATTTGATGGCCTGAAGCTGTGAAGCAATTGATGTCGCCATGGAAGACGGCAAATTTCCTCCTGGGGTTTGCGGAGGTTTGGTGTGAGGGTATTCGCAGAGGGGAGGGGTTTTGGCCTCCGCCCGATATTATATTTGTTGGGTCGGCTGGTGGTCCGACCTGGAAGTAAGTAATTCCGGCCCGTTACTAATGGGCCTTGAGCCTTGGGTTATGTCCACTCGAACTAATATGGAGTTTTCAAAACACACATAAAGTTGTCTCGAGAAATTTAAATTCATAATTTAAGTACTGATGGTCAGCAACGAGATGGTTTGCGGTGACAATTGTAGCTGCTAGCGAGAAATAGTCAACGGTTAAAGAAGATATCAAACTTCCATCTTGGTCACACAAATTCAGGAAATATAAAAACTCTCTGTTTCAAAGAATTATGATATCTAGAGATATCAAATTTGATATCTCCTTTGATTTTACCAAACAGAAAACAAATCGATATTCGGAGATATCAAAACCCATATCTCTTTTGCTCCCCAAGCACACCCTAAAATCAAGCTTGAAATTGTTTGTGTTGTGTTTTTGTAGTTCTAAGGTTTATTTATAATATGCTGAGTTTCATACATATTTTTCATGAATTGCACTATCTTTATTTTTTTACAAAAGGGCTCAATACTAGGAGTGGTCATCGGTATAAAATGGAACCGGACCTAACCAGACTGGACCGGGTTGAATTAGACTAAAATCTAGACCGAAGACCGGACCTAAATGTATTCGATTTTACACCGGACCGACCCAAAATCATATCGACCGAACCGGTCCATATCGAAAATACTGACTCCAAGCCAAAAAAGTCTACTTTCAAATAAAAATCCCCCAAATCTTGAAATTTCGTGGCATGAAACTTGGTCGACGTCGATGCACTTGTAATCCTGCTCGTTGACATTGAAGGCACGACTCACAAGTGATGAAGATGAAGGTGTGGATTTTTTAAGATTTGAAGGTGCAAATGGTGAAGACTGAAGATGGTGAAGATCGGCGACGGGTGACTGTGCGGAGAAAATGACATAGAGGCTAAGGAGTGAGAAGTTGAGAATCGAGGTTGTCGATTGAGTGTATTTGGAAGATAAGATCTCACGGACGGTGAGTGGATGAGAATTATTCAAAGTCTTAGGGGCTGTTTGGCAACTTCTGAATCGATAAGTGCTGAACCAGTAAGAGGTCTGAACCATTAAGTGCTGAACCAGTAAGAGGTCTGAACCATTAAGAGCTAGTATATTGCTTAACTATTTAGAGGCAAATGTCTGATCAATTCAGATAAAAGGTCTTAACCATTCAGACTCTGTATAATACTTAATCATTCAGAGGCAAATCTCTTAACCATTCAGACATCTAAACCATTAAGAGGCTGAAACAAACAGTCTGAACCATTAAGTGCTGAACCATTTAGACATCTGAACCATTAAGAGGCTGAAACAAACAGCCCCTTAATGTAATGACCCGAAAACCGGATTAGTAGTTAGCCCTTGTTTTATTAAAAATAAAATAACATTTATTTACTCAAAAATATGAACTATTTGTAAAGTTGACAACGGTCTTATTAATAGTGTTAGACTTAACGCGAACCTCTAGAGGGAGGTGAATAGAGGTGTCGTCCACTTTGACTTCTTTTCATGTGATTTATCCTCTCGAATGATCTCGAGTATAAAATGCTCAAGAACATGCAACCACAAAGAGATATAGAAGCAAATAATGAAAAACAGTAAAAAACACAACATATATATTGGTTTGGCCTAATGTCTACATCCAGTCCCATGACAGCCGTGCCCAAGCCTTCAGTAACTACGCTACCAAACTTAACGATGTCTGACAAAACTTACAACTCGAGAACCTGAGTCACACAAGTCTCTTAACCTATCACCTACAACTTGATCACACAACTCACATATTTCACCACTTGACATAGTCCCAACACCAAATTTCTCTAACCATTTGGCGTAGGCCCAACACCAAGATTTACACCATTTCACGCTAGAAAGAAAATCAAACCACAATGAAAATTACTCTCTAATAGAGCAGATATCCTGCACCACAATTTTCTTATTTTCCTATAGAATATGGCAACAACAACTCTCCAAGGCTCAAGTAACAGGGATGAAACTCAAGCAAGAAAGGAATATGATCGACAACGATCATTTGGTTGGATATATCAAGTTTTTGTCAAGAAAAATGCTCTCAAGAGAGTCAATATAATGTCAGGAATGATTGTTGAATGTTGGGGCCGATTAGATATGTTTATAAGCTTCAACACACTTGAAAACCACTATTTTAACTGCTGAAAACTACAAAATTCAAATGTTCAATCCCAACATTTGAATATATCAGTTATCCTACAGTTACAACTGCTAGAAACCGCATACATTCAAATGTATAAGCTTGTACATTCGAATATATCAATTATTTTGCCGAAAAACTAATTTTCGATGATTTTATCTCAAAAAGACCTTGGGAAAAGGTTATGGATAAAAGATGAATAGTCGAAGATTGTCTTAGAGCAATTCCTAATGCCATAGTTTTTAATAAATAATCTAAGACTTAAAAGACTACTCAAGAATAGATCGATACGGAGTATTATTTTTTTTCTAATATGAACAATGTATTATAATATTTTTATAATATCACATATAAATATTTTGATTTTAAATATATAAAGAATTAAAGATATAAAAGTAAATAGGCTAATGAGAAAATGAGAAAGGATAAGTGAAATTGTGAAAAACTAGAAAAGTAGAGTATATGAGAGATTGAGAATGGAGAGTTCTCTGCATTTTAGAAGAGAAATGAGTGATATCTATAGGGGAAAAAATTGACCCCCCCCCCCCCCCACCTCCACCCCTAATAGCTATAGAGTCGTTCTGGCAGCAGGCACCCCCCCCCCTTCCCCAAATGCTATAGAGCAGTTTAAATTCAAAGGGAAAACAAAAATTTAACGGTCCAAAATCGTACCGGGGCCGGTACCAAACCTCCTCAGAACCGGACCTGCTTAACCCGGTCACGGTTCCGGTTCCTCTTCCCCCGCCCGCTGGTTCAGAACCGATACCTTGTCCACCCCTAATTGATTAAGTGTGTCATTATGTTGAAAAAATATTAACAAATATTCCCTCTGTCCTAAAATTATCTTCTCAATTATTATTCACACGGTCAAACTTAAATCATTTTTTACCTATTCTCGTTAGTTATTTAATAAAATAATATAGTCTTGTCACCTCTTATTTTGTACTCCCTCCGTCTCATTTTATATTGCATGTTTTGAATCTGGGCATATTTAAGGAAGGAAAAAAATGGTGTTAACTTTCCAAAAATGCATCACTTTTTTAGGGGTGGTAATGAATGAGAAGATAAGGTGGAGAGGAGTGGCTTATCTTAGGGGTAGTTTATGTATTTTACCCTGAAAAATTTATTATAATAAGAAACATGCAATTTATTTTGAGACGGACAAGAAAGGAAAACATGCAGTTTAAAATGAAACTAAGGGAGTAGAACTTTTGATGTAGTTTTTAGATTTATAAACTTCGTTTTTTAACTTTACACCTACAATCAAATAAATTGAATTGAAAATAAAGTCGGTCAAACCCCATAAACACAAACGAGAAAATGGTTTTAGGATGGAGGGAGTACTATACTCTAATAGAGTCCATAGCCCAGAAAAAAAAATAGAATTATATTGCGTGTAGGAAAACCCGGAGCTAACGGAGATAGTTACCAACTTACCGTGAAGAGGAAGCGTGCCTCTTTTCTTACTAAAGCCGACAACGAGTGAAGTGTGACTATTTTGTGGAAGTTGATAAACGTACACCATTTTTTTTTTTTGAAAGGTTAGTGAATTTGTTGATTTCTACACGAGATTTTTGTGTTCCTATGCCAGCTAGCCACAAAAGAAAAATAAGAAAGTGGCTCTTTTTCATTCAACAAAAGAGTAAAAAAGAAACAAAGTAAAAAAAAAATGACACAGAAATTCACTAGTTTGTATCATGTATGGTCCATATGCTTTTGGCTTTTCTCCTACAAGTGTTGGCAACTAAATCACTACTCTTACAAGCATGAATGGGTACTTTTTTTTTTGTATAGAGTTATTATTACTATACCTAACCTGAGCTTTTATCAACCAAATCTGCCCCGCTAACGTACCTGGCCAGAAACGAGAATAGGCGAAATGGAGCCCCAATCAGAGGCGCATCAGAGAGAGGAACCCCTGCGTTCTCATCGGCAGAAATGCTTCCTGATTCTGTTGTTGCAGCAACAACATCATCATCCTCTAAAGGAATTTGCACTATTTCACTTGTCTCGATCTCATCAGATAGATTGATGTTTGTACCGTCATTACTGCCATCTTTGGACTGAGTCGTGTCCTCAGATTCGGGAAGTATCTGAGTGGGTTCAACCAGTGAATCTTCGGCACATGTGATTTCACGGTCAATAGTTGAACTATCGGTATTATTATTGCTATAATAAGAAGATTCAACGTTTAGGGCTACTGGACCGGAATTAGAAGATAGAGAGTCTTGTTTCACTGGACCTCCCTGCTGATGAAGTTCATCGATACACGATTCGTTTACCTGGAAATATAGCAAGAAACGCCCATTGTTATTTTTTTACTCCACATTGTTCCATGTGCATTTTGAATTTACAGCATCAATCTTGTGGTGGGATATGCCTTTCAACAGGCTCTCAGCTCCCCTAAAAATTTTTCCATGCAATGATGATGGCGATTCTGGATTTTCATCTCATTACTCTTTCGTAAAGTTGCAACAAGATATATTTTAGACATTTAATTGACACTTTGACCCCTATATTGTTATTCGTATTGTATTTATTTTGCTGGAGGCAAAATTTGCAGTAACATCCAAATGATACTTTGCAAGTTTCCAGGTTTTCAGGCATCCAATACAAACCATCAGGCTGCAGGAAACAATACGGATGATGACTGATGAGGGAAGCTCTCTAAGCAACATTTTCTACATTTAAGAATTGAGAGATATTTCCAAAATATTCAAAAAAGAAGGGTGTGAGTCAACTATTAGCATGATTTCTTTATTCATTTTTTTAAAATACGCAAGCATTAGCATGATGTCTCACTCCATATACTTAATGCAGCTAATAAATCACATTAAGTCCTACAAAATGAGTGACGATATGGCACGCTAGCTACCACCACGGACCGTCCCATAATCCAAAATAAAAACGTAATATGGAGTAAAAAGAAACAAAACAAGATGTTAGTAGCTGGGCAAGGGGAACACGGGTCTAAATTTCAAAATTCTCCCTCTTTCCTGAAAAAGGCTCCACTTTCCTTTTAAGGAAAGAGTTATATGATTCACATTATTTCTCTCCCCTTTGCAATTTGCATAACTCTAGACCACAAAATTTAACCTTTCTTAATAATTGTTTAAGCGGTATATTAGTTTGGGATGGAGGGAGTATACGATATAGACAACTTACCAGATTCCTCCCAGATGATGAATAAGGAATATTAGCGCTCTTTGCGTGGACATGTATTTGTGACTGCAGAGTAGTTACAGTTTCTTTCAGCAGCTGATTTTCGAGTACACAACTTCTCTGCAACTCTTCAAGTTCCTTCACCTGACACAGTTTGAATTTATTTGCATACCAGGAAATAATAATAATAATAATAATAATAATAATAAAAAGGCATAATTTGAATATAAAGCTTTACTCTCTGGCGACTTAGGCATGATTTCGCGAGATTTGGACGCCCGCACTGCCTCAAGCCAAGTATGGCGAGGCGTGCCCTGCGGCGGACTTGGAAAACGCCATACCGCCTAGGCACAATAACAACTATGGGCACAAATCTAAATAAAATAACTTAACATTGCGATTGGTAAAATATGCTTTCTCCTCATGCACATGGCTTATGTGGCAATGCCTCCTAGAACCTGAATTACTGTCATCGTGAAAAATATGACTCATAATCTACTAATCTGAAGTTTCTTATGTCTCCACGACTTTATCCAACCATGAATGCCTAATGGTCTTCCTCTGAATGCAGTTACTTATTCTGGGTTCAGTTCATTGAGAGCATACCTGTGTTTGTAAAAATGCATTATCAGCATTCAGCTTTGAAACTATTTCTTCCATCAAGTTCTGTAAAAGAAGAGCCAAACATACTGATACAACCAACATTCAGAAAAATGATTATCAAAAGAGCCATCCTGGAAACCTACTTGAAGAGGAAGCCAGAAGGATCTGGAAAACGAAGTGTTATGGTGTTACCTCCTTTCCTATCAGCATATCTCTTTCCTCCTCTATATGTTTTATTGTTTCCTCCAATCTCACCTGATCCCAGGGCAGGGTTAGCTTATTGAGAAAAATTTACAAGACCCGGGAGTGAAAGTATAAAATGCATGCTTAAAATGAACAAACAATTCCACCCTGTACCCTAAGTCAACTGATTTGCATCCACCCCCTCGCACATTGACAATCTAATCGCGTACTCAAGAATTTGGTGTGTGTGTGGCGGTGCACTAAAGCACATCAGTTGTTGAGTTGAGCTCGTGCAGTAATCTTTGTTAGGGTGCTATAGGTGCTACTTAAAGAAAAAAAGGATGGGGCTAGACTAGACCTGGCAAAACTGACCCGAACCCGATAACCCGAACCGAACCCGATTTCACCCGAAAGCTGAAGACCCGAAATAAAACCGAACACCCGAAATGATCCGAACCGAACCGAACCCGGACCGAATGTACTCAGACCCGATTCAGATCCGAATCCGAATTAACCCAAACCGATTAAACCCGAACCGATTAAACCCGAACCCGGTTAAACCCGGAACCGATTAGACCCGAAATTGATTAAATTTTATGTACGTCCGTGTTAAATAATAAAATAACTACGGAGTATATCATAAATTGATTAAATTTATTATGTGATTTTATTGATTTATTAGTAAATATTTAAAATATATCTGAACTAATATAAACCTAAATCGATACAAACCCAAATCAATATAAACTTGAACCGATACAAACCCGAACCGATACAAACCCGAACTGATATAAACCCGATCCGATACAAACCCGATCCGATACAAACCCGAACCGAACCCGAGCCGAAACCGAAAACCAGCCAAACCGAAATAAACCCGGAACCGAACTGACCCGAACCGACCCGAACCGATTATAACATATATCCGAATGAGACCCGAACCGAAAAAAACTCGAACCGGAACCGAACCGATTGACCCGATTGCCAGGTCTAGGCTAGACTACACTTAGCTTAAAAAATTAGCCGAACACATTTTAAATTAAAACCTACTCTTATTGGGGCAAGACTGCAGATTTTTCTCTATGAAATCGAGGCTTAGGCTGCAACGCCTTTAAGCATACACCTTTAAGTGTAGAGTCTCAGCGCCTTGGACCCTTCAATGCATTAGCCTAGTTTAAATGGACTAATGCTCAAGCTTTGTGGGTGTTTTCTTCGTGCTTTAGAGCCTTTAAAGACTATGACAGATTGCCGGTAGCAGTGGTCAATCGTCATAGGCAATATTGATGGGTACAGTTGATAGATATTATGTTGGTGCTGAGATGGGTCACACGAAGTGGTGTTTGGGGTAGGAACCGCAGGATGAAGGTCACCACGGTGATGGTGAAAAATCAGTGATTGGTGTAGGTATGGTTTTTGGGTGAATGTATGGGTGGTCATACTTGCCATCATGATTTGTTTTAACATTTGAAAAACTATTTTCAATTTCAGAAGATATAAAGAGTGTTTTTTAGTTCTCTGGAAATCTGAAATATTGGAGAACAATCTCTATTTTCTAAATGTGTAAATATGTTTTTGGTTTTCAAAGTTTGGGAAGCATACAAACCTTTTGAGTCAAGTAAACGGCACATTGGTTTTGGGTTTAGGCAGTGAGGACTCTGCAACTTTTATCACCCCTGATTGCCAAAAAGGATGATACTCGCTCTAATACCATAATTAACAGAAGTTAATTGCAAATCTGTTTTTTATACTACGAAAGACACACTTCACGTACTAACTCCTAGACGAACCAAGAAATTATGAAAAGTAAAACCAATCAGTATATTCTCAGCATTAGAAGGTGAGGTGCAAGCCGGAGTTGGGTCTTGCAGTGATTGACTCTGAGGGCCCGGAGTGGTCAGATTTGTGAAAAATGACCGGAGATGCTTTGATCTGATTTTGGGAGTGGTGCAGCTTAGCAGGACAATAATAAACTACTACTTTTACTGATATGACTTGACTAACAACTTAGTCACTTCTGAAGACTATTACAATGCTCATATAAAGATATAATGGATCTAAACCCAGAATGAATAAGAAATTAATGTCCTAAACGCTAAGCCTAACAAGAATATGAAACTACAATACTGTTGGAAATCTCTATAGTGAATAAAGAACTTTGAATGTATAAATGGTTGGTTCTAGACATAGTTGGCCTACTGAACAGGGAAGGCTAGGTAAGGTGGAAAAGATTTCAAACAAGAGAACAAAATTATGTAAGAAAACCAGGAATGAATATGATTCTGAAATACTTCAGTACTCTAATGAAACAAACACTACCTCCTTTTGGAGCCAGGACTCCTTTTCATTCCATAATTGTGAAATTTGAGCCTCAAGAACAGTCTGAAAACAACCCCAAAAACTCATAATGGAACAGCCATCCTTTGACAAAAGACGACAAAATGAAAGCTGTGTGTATATGCATATGTGAACATCTCTAATCCAATTCAGTCCCTCTTTCAGCATGTGAGCTTTTTTCTCAGCCTGCATCTGTCTTATTTTGTTTTTAAGCTAGCCTATTAAATAACCCAATATCACTACTTTTTAGGATTTCCAACTCTAGAAGTAAACTTGCCAATGAAGAACAAAAAACTGACACACACAAAAAACATTAGAAAATCAAAACCCACAAGCCATATAGAGAGGGATTTCATATTACCACTCGATGCAACAGAACATCCTTTTCCTTCTGTAATAACAATATTTTTTCCTCCAGACTAGCCTGTGCATCGCGAAGTTAAGACAAAAATGAATTAATTACATTTTCTCGACATGCAGAAGATCTTAACCAACTATATGCAGCATCTACATTACCACTTCGCGGATGTGAATGATATTTTCACTTTCTAGTTGTGTAATTCTTTCTTCAACTTTACACTGCAAAATGATGATATTGCTACATTTTTTGGAGATGTAAAATGATAATATTAGAAAGAAAATTCACATACTACACATTTAGCATTCTTGTAGAATCTTTCTGTTAGTCAATAATGGCATCAAGTGGAGTAGAGCATAAGGCAAATATTTGTGTAAACACCAGAGGTGTTTAAACAAAGACTCAAGGAGTAATAAGATCATATTCAAATACAAAAATCAAAAGTTATTCACATGTCATATCAAAATTAACATATTACCTCACTCTCTGCATATACTTCCTTCTCTTTCTCCAGTTGTTTAATTTTCTCTTCAAAACTAGCCTTAAACACAAATAAGTTACAAATTATTACTCATATTTCACAATACAAGAGAGTCTAATAATGAATTAATTAAATTTTCTCAACATGTAGAAGATCTTAACCAACTATATGCAGCATCTACATTTCCACTTTTTGAATGTGAATGATATTTTCATTTTATAGTTGCCTAAGTCTCTCTTCAACTTTACACTATTGCTGCACCATTTTGGAGATTTAAAATGATAATATTGGATAGGATATTAACATACTGCAAGTTTAGCATTCTTTTAGAATCTTTCGGTGAGGCTCCACTCGTTTCACTAAAATGTTCTCTTATAGAACAGTCTGGGGAAGCAAATTAGTCATCAATGGCATCAAGTGGAGCAGAGCATAAATCATGTATTTGTGTAAACTCTAGAGGTGTTTTAACATGGAATAATAAGCTCATGTTCAAAAGGAAAAGTAAAAAAATTCCCCGTGTGATATCGAAATTAACATATTACCGCTTTCACTGTGTGCATTTCCTTCTCTTTCTCCAGTTGTTTGATTTTCTCTTCAAATATAGCCTTAAACACAGGTAAGTTAAAATTTACTCATAATTCAGAATGCTAGTGTCTAAGAAGAAACCGTACAATCATGATATAGATAGCCAAGAACCAGTTATGATGAAGAAAGGTGGCTTCTTCACCTCTCTGTCCATCCAGTACTGTTTATCACCTTCAAGTAAAGTTGGCTCAGTTGGCTGTAACAGCAGGATCTTAAGAAATTATCAAACAGCAACCAACGCAAGGTGCCTTTAACTCATAATCTTGAAGAATTAAAAAATTCCAACTGGAATAGATTCCATGATGTCTAATCTTACACTTAAAGGTTTAGCAGAAAGATCTCGATTTAAATCCATATCGATTTTTGCTGCATCATTATCCTGCAACTCTGCAGTTTCTGTAGTATCCTCACGTGATTCACATACATGGTTCTGATCTGGCTCTCTAGCACCACTCGGCACATTATCCGTGATTTTGTTCTGCTTATTCTTCTTTTTCTTGTTCTTGTTCTTCTTCTTCTTCTTCTCTTCTTCCATTCTTGGAGGTCAGAATCAGAACTTCACAAGTTCTATTTTAAAAAAAATTACCCTTCAAGGGAAATGAAAAAGGTCCGAATGAGCTCCAGAAATGCTTTCTTAACAATTCAAAAGCAATTAAATGGATTGGAACCAGTATTTCACATACAAATCAATCAATATAGCACCCCACTATTCTTAACCCATCAAAGTATTGTCAATGAACTACATAAATTGAATGTTAACTCAAATTAGATCTTATTCAAGCTTTGATTTCTCCAATATATATCAAACCCGTTTTTTTATAAATCAGATCGACGTATTCCACACGCATTGAACACCTCCATTTCTCGATAACACATAACAGACGGGAAATACACCTCATTTGAAGAATTACGCAAAATAAGACGGCGAATTTTTTTTTTAAAAAAATCAGGTAATTAACGTACGAATATCCAAATTTTGCGTGGTAGTACCTGATGCGATAGGAATGGTCCGAAATCCAGAAAAGCTGATACGGCAACAAAATGCACAGGTGACGGATCCGGGAATAGTCTTTTTGTTCTCTGTGGAAAAAAAAAGATGAAATGGAAACTGGAAAATGCGAGCTAGTGTGACGACATTGCAGTCCAGATTCTAGCAGAGGAACGGTTCTACAGAAGAAAGAGGGTAAAACGGCTTTCATGCCGGACTTAATTTAAAAAAAGAAAATGGTTTGGAGAAATTTGATTTTACTTTCAGCTATTTGGTACTCCGTAGTATATTTTCAGCATGTTTGGTTCAATAAATTTGAAAAGAAAAAGAAAAGAAAATAATTTTTTCTTATTTTCTTCACCAAAATTGGAGAAATTTAGTTTTCCTCCACGCAGTACATTTGCTTTTCCATCTACTTTTCATTTTTTTCCCTCTCTAATTAAACAAGAAAAAAGAAAACTCCTCAAACAAAAATAAAATATGTGTTATATCTTCAAAATAGAAGTTCAAACATAAACTCTCATAAATAAGAATAATTTATTAATTCTTTTTTTCATTTATTCTTGGCGGCACAACTCATCCCTTTATGATAGAAATTATTGCCCGATTTCGATCGTGTTCTTCAATCTCAAGCACCATCGCCAATCTCATTCTTCGCTCTATTCTAGTTAGGTTGCTGCCGCCGTCCCTCCAATCTCTCCATCTCCTTATGTTAATCACAAGCAGTGCGGAAGAGAACATGTTGGGAATCGAAAAATTGGCGGAGGAGGATGTTACTGGATTGACTTCTATGGGAAGGTATCTGTGATGAGATTTTGGTCGGAGATAAAATTGATGGGGCTACGAATGTCATAGGAGATGAAGAGTTTTTGGATCCCTTTGCAATGTCTCTAGTGTCGGAAGTGCCAATGAGGTCAGAGGACTTGATTGCCACAGATTGTCTGCTTATACATTGTTAGGTGTGGCATTATAGATTATCATGTTTGGCATATTCTATCTGTTTAACATTATGCATTCACATGTAAGGCTTTATACATTCACATGATTGTCAGTTATCACTATATGGTTACGTGTGACATTAAGTGCGGTCTTGTTTGACAGTGTATATATTGATATTTTAATGTCCATGTCTTGTTTAAGAATTTTGACACATACTCATAAGACATTGATTCACATCTCACATATTTATTGAGTAAGAATTTTGACACATACTTACAAGGTGTTAATTTAGATCTCACATATTTATAGATTAAGAATTTTGGCGTTATGTAAGGTCTTACTTGACACTTATCAGATGACTCAGACAACACGTAAAGGTGAGGTTTCTTATGTTCCTTTTCTCTTCCTTAAGAGATGATTGTCAATTAATGGGTGAATAGCAACAAGCCATCAACTCTTATTTTTGGGTGTTTTATCTTTCATCTCCTATTTTGGAATTTAATTAATGTTTTACTTTTATCTTAGTCTTTAACCCAACAAGAAAAACTGTTTCTCATTTCATTTTTTCTTTTTCTTTTCAAATCCATTGAACCAAACATATTGTAAAAGATTAGTATAAAAGAATATCGAGTATTATAAAAATAAAGAATATTTTTTAAAATTTACATATTTAAAAAATAAATTACTCCGTAAAAGTTTTACAATATACTTCCTCTATCCAAAAAATTTCTTCACATTCACATTCACATTCATATGGTCAAAAGTTGTCACCTCTTGTTTTTAAAAAACTTTTGATGTAATCTTAAAATATATAATTTTTAATTTTGTACCTCTAATCAAATAAATTAAATTGAAAATAATTTCAATCAAACCTCTTAAACTAAAATGGGAAGAGAGTGTTAGGACGGAGAGAGTAAAATTGGAAAATTATATTCCGGTGACCCATGTTTCGTAAAAATAACTTTCAAGTTTCTCTATTTAAAAAAATATCATAGGCCTTTGGATTTTGTTGTAATTATTGGAAGAAGACATTCTGCCACTTATTCCAATCATAAACGTTAATAAATCTATTTTTATTTTGCTCTTAATATTTTATGGTAAAAACTTTTAGATCCAAAATTTTTTTGTTTATTTGCTTTCCGTGATGTTTCTCTTTTTTTTTCTTTACTTTATTTCTTTTTTCATGAAGTTTTTAAAATTTCTTCTATACAATAGTTTTAAAATGTTAATTTGTTTGTATAATATAAAAAATGAATGAAATAAAAAGATCTAATTTTTTTTTTAAAAAAATATAAAAAGTTAAAACCGAAAAATAAAAAGAAACCCCATACAAATAATGTGTGTGTGTTAAGAGAGTAATTTTTCATTTCATTTACTTTGTATCTTCTTTAGTCCTCTTTTTAATTTTAATCCTCCATACAACGTGTTATGAAGAAGAACGTATGAGAACTTTCTGTGAAACTTGTTTTCCTCTATTTCTTTATTCTTTTTTCTTTTATTTTACTCGGTATTTTCTTTTTTAAGAATTTTTTATTTCATTTATTTTTTATATTGTACAAATAATTTTGAACCTTGAAACATTTTTCTGGAAGATATTTTTAAAAGTTTAAAAAAAATGAAAAAAGAAAAATAAAGAAATTAAAAAGTGAAAGACCTAAAAGTTAATGCAATAAACACTAAGGGCAAAACTGAAAAAACACATTTATAGACCGAATGTCCTCTTCGAGTTTTACAACAAATTTAAATGACATTTATTGTCTTCTTAAAAATAGATTGGTCTACGTGTTATTTAAACTAAACCTGAGTTGTCATATGTGATTAATTTTATGAAATAACGGGTAACAGAAATATTTTATTTTGTCAAACTAATCAATGAAAATACACAAATAAATAAAAGTAATTGTAATTTTAAAATAGTGAACATTGTAATCAATTATGAGATGAAAATACAAAATAGTAGCTAATACAAGTATCTTAAAAGAAATTCGAGTAACTCAAGGGTGCTTAAATTATATGCACTTGGTCATTAAAAGTAGTGCTATATTACTTTGACAAATCAAACATCAAAATATTATTTTAGGTATTTCATGTTTTGTGCTAAAACCATGTAGGTCTTATGTTATTCGAAATACAACCTCGCATGACATTTTTCATTAAATCATACAAAGTAGTTATTTTTATTGAATTTTTATAAATCCTTTCATTTGCTAACATTTTTGATATTTTTCTGATATGAATATTAAATTTATTGAATCATTAGTTTTTATTATATCTTAATAAAACCTTTCGTTTTCTAACCGTTATTTACTTTCTAATTTAAATAATCTTTATCTTGTTTGTTATACAAAAGCCATTATCTTAGAAATATAATGATTATCACAGTAGCACTTTTTTAAAATACAAAATTTATTTTATCACATTAAAATTATGGTTTATACTTTATTCCAAAATCTTAAATATCATAAAATTTTAATACATTTACTTTATGAAATTAAAGTATTTTATACTCCCTCCGTTCTCAAAAAGAGTTCCTACTTTAAAAAAGTGGAAAAATAAGGAAGTGTTAAATTATAGTTGACTTCCAATTTTGCCCTTGATGTGATGGGTAAAAATAAGATGTGATGGGTAAATTATTAGAGAAAAAGTATGATGTGATAGGTAGGGTATGAAAAAGTAAGGGTAAAAGTGGTTTTTTAATAGAAAGTGGAAGTGTTTTGTTGGGAGTGAAAAAAATGAAAGAGGAATTGTTTTTGAGAACGGAGGAAGTATGTATTTTAACGGCATATCTTCATTCAAAAAAATTTCTTCATTTTCAATTTTATTATACATATTTTGTAACATTTTAAATTTCAATTTTATTATACCATATATATTTCCATACATGAATACTTTATTTAATAAATAGTTTTTAAAATTTTAAAATTCATAAATACTTTAATTTTTTATAATTAATTAATAATTTAAAAACAGATTATTTTTTTCAAACTATTAAGTTTAAAAAATATTTTATTGTAATACAACTATTTTTGTTTTCAAGAATGCATTACAGTGATTAAAATATAAATAAAATAATTATTTTCACTATAACAGCTAAATTAATGATTATTAAATTCAAAAGCGAGAGGTTAGAAAATGAATTGTTTTATTGAAGTATTGCTAAATATATTAATTATATTTATTATTCTTGTAAATATTATGTTACCATAGTTGTAGAGTCTTCCTATTATGTCTCTGCTACCATTATTAGGATTGAGACATCTAGTATATATTGACGTAATTTGTACACAATTATTCAATGAAAATAATCTTTCTATATGGTATCGGAGCCTAAAAACTCTAAACCCTAATCAATCTCCTCTTCCTTTTTTTTCGGCTAAATATAATTTACCTTAGTTTTTTTATTAATGTATTTTTTAAATTATCGATGCTTTAATTTTTTTAAATTTCATGAATATAATTGTTTTTTATTATTGTCCCTTTAATTTATTTTAATTTAATGAATGTAATTTTTTAAAAACTATTTTTGTTTCAATATAATTAAATAATTAAATTTTATTATTTTAAATTTAGAAGATGTATATTTAAAAATGTAAAAAATGAAGTTTTGAAGCCCCTGTTTGAAACCCCGAGGCTTCTAACCCATTTCCATTGAATCTGTGAGGTAAGCTAAAGCTGACGTGGCAGAGAGAAATTTTGAAGCACCGGTTTGAAGCCGCAGGGCTTCACAAGTATTTCCAGTGCCCTAATGACTTTTCTCAAATAGGGCCTTTAAAATTAAAATTATCAGTTTTTTTTAGGGAAACCATTCTGTTAAAATTCCAAACGGCCTGAGATCATCACACTTTCTGCATCTCCTTTTTAAAATTCTGAGTTTCAAGAGTTTCTTTTCCATATTCATAACGTAAAAGTCTCTCCCTTCCAAGAAAGATTCATCTGTGTTGATTTTCGCTTCCTTAAATTCTTTATAATAATTAAAAAACTTGTCTTCTTAAGGTGAAAATCCAAATCTTGGGTCCGGGATTGCATTCATTTGATCTGAAACTAGATTTCTTTCAATAATAAAATTTTCCTGCCAATGGTGCGTCATTAGGTAAATCCCCCATATTTCAATATAATGGTTGAATTGGTGCAAGTTATTTGATAGTGATCTGCCCAGAGAAGTTCATGATTCATGATAATGGGGGGTATATTAGCCAGTTTATGTTTCTTTCCCAAGGTTTGTCTAATTAACCACTTCTGGCATTTTATTACATGACTTTTTTCTTATTGTTGCATTGCATTGCTTGGAATAATCTATTTTGAATTTCGCAAATAAACAAATTCAAACAAACCCATTATATCCCACTTAATTGTCTTTAGAATCTTGCAAATAATCTGCAGGAAAAAATACTCATGAAACAAAAATTTAAAGAATATATTCTTTACAAAATGCATAAAAAGGGTTCAATGCAATTTGATGTTATGTTTCTATCCTTATGGTTTTACATTAGACATTCGTTGAATAAAAAATACGAGATAATTTGTTCTTTTTAAATCCTGAAAATGAACGAAAACTTCACAGTTATTCTATCATTGATGAATGCCACTTTCAGAATTCTCCAACGACCCATTGGTTTACTTTGGTATCTGTTCCAATGACTTGTGTTTTGGAATTGCAGTTTTGGTCAAGGAATGATGATGATGATGATGACGATTCATGCTGTAATGTTGATTTTTCAGGAGGAAATGTAAACCTCATTACCTCAATAGAATGTTGGGAACGGAAGATTGAAGAAGCACGGAAAGATAACAAAACTGTAACCCTCTCTTACATTGCATCTCGATGGTCTCTTTTTGTACCAAAGTAGTGTCATTTTGGAACTTGCGGGTAGTTTAAAAATAATTAACGAAGAAAAATACTCCGTTGCAATTTAGTCGCCCAGTTGCTTGACATTTCGTGACTCGGGATTTATTTTTTTAATTTTTTACAAAGGTAGTCTGTCAATAGTTAAACTTCAGATAAAATTAGTGTCTTCTACTAAAAGCACCGTTTAGTATTAGAGTTCATGTTGGCTTTCTTGGCAATATAGAATGCTAATAATTAATGCCTATATAAACTCTAATGTCAAACTGCGAGTTAAACACATCCCCAATCATACACAATGTCAAGCCATTGATGGATTAAAAGTGTGATTTTCCCACTAGTGAATATATATTAAAGCAATTGAACCCAAGAGAAATTTGAATTAATTCCGTGCAGAAATAGTAACTTGGTACATTAACTTTGTTTCCGGATGTTTTATCTGTAATATACGCTATGTTATTTCTATGCATATTATATGTTTCATGCTTCTTAAGTCATTCAACTGATTGCAGGTGATTGCGAACTTTAGCGCCTCATGGTGCAGTCCTTGTAAAACGATTGCACCATTCTATTGCGAGCTTTCTAATAAACAGCCTTCTCTGATGTTTTTGGTGGTCGATGTCGATGAGCTTAGTGTAAGTACACCACTCCTTAAAAGTTAAAACAAAATGCGTATGAAAATTTGGTACACGGAATTGAGGCAATGGAATAGGAATTAGAGACTTCAATTATGTTTGAATTGGTAGCACGAAAATATGGACTGGAATTGAATTCTAATTCTAAATTTTCCGTATCAATTTTAAAATATGTGGATTTGGTAGCACAAAAATATATGGATGTGAATTTGGAATCATAATACAATTTCATATCAATTCTATAAATAATTTGTGTTACCAAATAAAGGATTGGAATTATAATACAATCATATGTCAATTTCTTAATTAGTTAATTATAACAAACAAATGGTTTAGAATTGAATTAGAATTCAATTCTATCCAATTTAATTCCATAGATTTTTAATTCCAATTCCGTGTACCGAATAGGGCCTTAGTGAATTTAAATTACATCCCAGAAAAGAATAAGTCTAAGTCCAATTGACCAGGATAAGCCTGATTGTATGGGCTGATTTTTTTAAATTACAACCCTAAAGGTCTTAGAAGTGGGTCCGAGGACTTTCGCGCGTAGACCCTACCATACTTAAAAGTTATAAATATAGAGTGCATGTCTTCGTATGACCCTTAGCTCAAGAACACAAAACCATTTTAGAACAATCAAATTTAAAAGATCAAGAGTAAGGATAACTACAAAATTGTCCCTTTTTTCTATTTTTGCCTGTCACATTACCTTTTTCCATTCCAAATTTGCCATTTTTGGTGGCTCAAAATCATTCCTTTTTTATTCATACTTTACATACTATTCAATGTCAACTTCATAAATTTACTTTTCTTTAATATATGTGTCACTTTCTCATGTCCTAAAGATAGTGTAATAGAGGAAGTAAGGTTGTGTTATGTCCTAAAGATAGTGTAATAGAGGAAGTAAGGTTGTGTTTCGGTTGCCTGATCTGATTTTTATAATTCTGATCTGATTTGGTCTCATCCGATCTGATGGAATTTGATCTGATCTGATCTAGTCTGATCTCATCTGACTGACTAATCTAATGTGAATTTGATTAAAATTAAATTTTTTATTATAACAATTATAATAATAGTTATAATAATAATAACAATAGAAATAGTAATAATAATAATAGGAATAGTAATAATAATAATAACTATAATAATAATAATACTAATAATAATAGAAATATTGATAATAAAAACAATATAAATAATAATAATAATAATAATAATAATAATAATAATATAAATAATAATAATAATACTAATAGTGGTAATAATAATAATACTAATACTCCCTCCGTCCCATTATATTTGTCCACTTTCGTTTTTACACACCATCCAATGCACTTCTTTAATCCATTTTATCTTGTAATTTGTATATTAAAAAATTATAGAAATTATATATTAATAATCTATATGTTAAGACAAATCAAACAAGATCACACATGACTATATTTGGGCTTATACATTGAGAGAATTTGATGAGTCAAAGTGCTTAGATGAACAGTTCCAAAAGTCAAAAGTGGACGAATATAGCGGGACGGAGGTAGTAATACTAATACTAATACTAATAATAATAATAATAATAATGATAATAATAATAAAAATAATGATAATAATAATAATAGCAATAATTTTGTTTAGATTTGGTCTGATCTAATTAGATATGATCTGATCTGATTGGATTTTATTTAGTCTGGTCTGATCTAATCTGATTTTAATAAGAATAAATAATAAGTAGAAAAAATAAGTTGAACGGAGCGCTGCCTAACAAGAAGGTAAAAATGGCACAATGTTGTACATCAAGTTCAAGCGTAGTAGTATATTCTATGTATTTCATTTAGAAACAAAGATTATGAGTTGTTTAATTTGCATTTCAGGACTTGAGTTCTTCTTGGGACGTCAAAGCGACCCCAACTTTCTTTTTCATCAAGGACGGAAAGCAATTTGATGCACTCCTAGGGGCTAACAAGGCAGAGCTGCAAAACAAGATAACAGCCATAGTAGACTCAAAGAAGCCATGCCACACATAGCCGTTATCCACATGTGTTCATGAGTGACATGGAATGTCCGCCTCCTTTTTTGCGTGCGTATGTGACTGCACCTGTAAATGCAACTACTATATACAAAGTACTCCCTCTGTCCTATATTTTTCTTTTCATTTGACTCTTCTTGGCCAAACTCTATAAACTTTGACTATGAAATGTGGAAAAATTCGAAAAGCTATATGTGTGTGTGTATAGATACATGTATACATGCATGCGTGTATACATACATACATACTTATTCACACATTTGGGATGGACTTGTATTCACTTCTTTGTTGCCTTGTGAAGCATAGTTGGGTGACCTTCAAATTTAACATTGCAATGCAAATGGAAATATTTTATCTGTCACATTGAAGATACATACATTGTTCTTTTTCTTTCAATGAAAAATTGGTTGAATACTGCTAACTGCTCATTGTATTGTTTCTTTACCTTCACCACTTCATGCCTCCTAGTTTGGTTAATCCCTTGAACAACGTTGATGGGCTTATGGCTTCACACCCAATTCAATGGAATGCCTGTGCCAAATCCATCATTTCATTACCAGACTTAAAATATTGCTCCCTTTGTCCCTTTTTGGTGCTCAATTTGATGTCACACTGTTTAAAACTTATATGCAATATTCTTCAAACAAGTGTTGCTTCCCATCCCTGAAAATCCCCGTTTGGGTCCTTGGAGATGTCGCGACACCCAAATTCTTTGTAAATTTAGAAAAGTTGGTGATAATACATGTCCCTACCTCCGTGTAACTTAGTTTAAAATGTTGAAAAGTGAAAAATATGGGGTTAAAATCTAATGAGAGAAGAGAGAAATGTTATGATTCATATTAGCCTTTTCTTTAAAAGGGAATCTGATATGATTATGTCTCCAAGTAGATTCATCTATAGTAAGTAAATATTCTAAGCCACAAAAATAGAAAACAAGAGTCAGAAAATGACTTGTAGTTTCAATAATATGAACAAAGGCTATATGCAAGTGAATGAAAATCCCAGCAAAATGTAGAGTAAGATCATAAGCAGCCAAAATATGCATCTTTTAATTATCTCTGTTGGTGAAGCTGAACCTGGAAAGGACAACCGCAGCTTGATCCCCACCTAGCAAGAAGTAAGGATGCCTCAGAGCAGCCGAAGCAGACAACCGGCCTCGCCTGAGCGGGCCCCTCTCTGAGACGAGCTTCGTAGCAAGATCCCACCCTCTTCCAGAGTCAAGATCAAGAATGCTCAAATCATGCCTTGATCTGCTGCCGCTCCTTTCCCTCCACGTATTCAACTCGTACCCTGCCTGTCTCAACTCCAGGTTGAACCTCTTTAGACCTGTCAAGGACCTCAGGCTGGGTATCGCCATTTGCAGAAGAACTATCCCAGCTGAATACATGTCAAAAAGATCTGGACTGTTCAGCTGCAAACAGAAATTGCAGAATCATTGGTTCTAGCTAGAAAATGGCTTTATTGCTATAGCATTGCTCTGTTTTTCCCTTGCCATGCGCTTTAAATTTGTATTCAGATTATTCCAACAGCGCGTAAAGTATGAGTCCCGATCAAAAGGTTAGAAAGTCTAACTCTGTGGTTGAATATGGGTACTCTTCTGATGTGGAATTGTTAGTGTATAAAATCTTTTTTAGGTCTGCAAACCTAACTAGGACCAAAAAATGCTTCATGTACCAAAATAGGATCTTCAGTGCTTTTATACCAAAATAGGACTTATAGTATAAAACCTTTTCTCGAACTAAAACCACAAGTTTGACGTTTTGGTTGAATTGGTAACTTAAAAACAACATTAATTAATGATACCTGCCATAAAAATGGGGAAAGAAGCGCAGCAATGGGCTCTGGAGGAGGCTTTGGGGTTTCTTCGGGCATTACAAAGAGTTCGGGAGGGCAATAATCTGGATCAAGAAGGCCTCTGTTGGGGACATAGTTTTTCCCAATCCTGAGATCAGTTGCTGCTCCAAAATCAATGAGCTTGATTTTCCCCCTCTTCGCGATGACCACCAAGTTGGATGGCTTCACATCTCGGTGGACAATCCCCGTGTCGTGAATCTTTTTCAGACAGGTGATTATCTGTCTCATTATTTGCTTGATTATCAGTGCATTTCGTTTGTTTGAATCCATCCCTTGTAAGACGCGGCCAAACATTGCAGACTCTAAGTTCAATGGGAAGTTTCTATCTTTCATGTACTCACCCAGGTCCCTATCTCCCTACAACACCATCAAATTCTATACACTTTTGAAGACTGTGGGTAAAGAGTGTTATTTTTTTCTTCTAAAAACCAAAGTCTTTTCTTCTCTTTTTTTTTTTACCTCAAATCTCCAGACAAGCCATTTCTCACCCTTTGTGAACTGTGAAGTGGTTTTCTCTGCAATAAAGCTTCCAAGAAACTTGGCGCACGTCTCTGGTGCAGCTCTCGATAGCCTGTAGTTGAACCATTCTTCAAACTCGCCGCATTCAACCGCCCCTTCAACCCCTAGTTTTACCTATTGGATTAACACACGAAAATCAAATCTGCAAAAAGGACATAAATGAAAAATATCATAGCTTTGGATGTTGCACATGCCTTCTTAAGGATGACCTTTTCTTTGAAACTTGGATCATTGGCCAAAGCTCTTTGGCTTCTTCTTTTCTTGACAATTTCTTCAAGGGCTACATTCTTGGGAAGAATCATGCCATAGTAAACAACTCCGAATGACCCTTCTCCGATTCTGTCCCCAACCAAGACATCTGTCATCTTCAATCTCCGAGCCCCGCTCAAACTGTCAAACCCGGCCTGCAGAGGGGCGAGAACGTAGGCATCAATGGCGCCCAGAAGGACACCTGGCCTAGCAGTCAAGTACACCCAAGTCAATCCGGCTAAAGCAAGCAAACCCCATTTCTGCCCTTCGGGCAGTTCCTCGGTGACCCGGAGAAACTGGGGGTACCCGGGGAATTGGGACAGAGAGAGGCTTAATTGTGAAGGGATTGCAGAGAAATTGTCTGAAATGTCGTCAAAGAATGCTTTGAGAGAAAAGGGGTTTCTCTTGGTGGAGGGGAGGAGGAGGAGGATTGGGGGAGTTGATGTGGGGTTTAATGGGGAGAAGAAGCTAATGGGTTTAGGGTAGTTTTGGCTGAGAGTAGTTGCCGCAGGTGGGGAGAAGAAGAAGAAGGAAGCCATGAGAAGAAGCTTGATCTGCTGTCATCTGGGCAAGAATCTGTCTTCACTCATGAGGAAGGGCCATATTTCTTCCACATGGAACCAGTGGGGATTATAAGTTCATTATCCACTAATATACTGTAGGTGTGTTCATTCAGCTAAAACAGAACCGAAATTTAGATAAAATATTTGAAATATTTTTTGTACCTAATATTAAAGAGTAGGACTAAAACATTGAAAATATACTAAAATAGAACTTCCATGTTTTTATTCCCGAAATAGAACTTATATTACCATACATTGTCATATACATTACCAAAATAGTATAGTAACTTGCACATGTACACTGTCACATTACCACAATGCAAAATCACATTATCACAGTGCAAAGTCCAACTCCGGGGAAAAAACATGAAAGTCCTATTTTGGTACTTTTCTCTATGTTTTAGTCCTATTAGGATGATTTCTAAATATTGAATCATAATAAATCGGTTAGATGGGGTTAATATTGAAAATATTTCGGTTTGATAATTGATAAAACCAAAAAAATGGAATATTTCATTTTATTTTCATCGATAGTTTACTTTTTTATTTCCAATTTGTATAACTAGTCCTCTCATTCAAAATTTAAAGAAATTAAAAATACTTGATGCTTTTTAGTTATAGTCAATCATAAATTACTTAGTTTTTCATATTATTAAAAGATTATCGAAGCACACAATTTCAATCTTGTAAAAAAATACTGTAATATAAAATAAGAAATCAAAACACAAAAAGTTAAAATGAAAAACAAACAATGCAATATAAAGAGTTCTTATATAGAGTATATATATACTCCCTCCATCCTAAAATTAACTTCTCACTTTTTTTAGGTTGTCCTAAAATTGTCTTCTCACTCTCTAAAAAAGGTAACTTTACACATCTCCAGTGACGTATTTGCCCTTCAACCTAAAGAATTCTAAATCTGATCGTTCCTCCCATTTCGCCACCATCTCAAGAACTCTAGCATCCCATGTCCTCTCTCCCCCCTTTCGTTCTTGATTTCTTTAATTTCATTCTTTTCGTTTGGATTTAGAGAATGATCGGCCCAAAACTGAGATCCGATGTGAAGGGGCTTACAATGGCGAGGAGGACACAGATCTTGATGTATCCCACCATGGCGGTCACCATTTTCTCATATCCTAACTTGATCTTCACAGATCCAAGAGCAGCACGACCAGCGAGAAATTGTTTTGGTACGTTTTAGAACTGAAGGTAATTTGCTTCCCTTTTGTAATTGTTTCCATCATCAGGGGATGGAAGTATGGAACGATGCTCCAAAAGCTAAAACCATTTCTTTGAATTTGAGTCAATGAATAAGGTTGACCCGTCCTCCATGAATTTGAGAAGGTGTTAAACAAAAAGGCAACTGGGAAGAGAAGAGATAAGGCAATGAGGACTGGTTTGCAAAGCTACATACAACGGATTTGGTATTAACATTAGCATAAAGGTTGAAGGGCAATTCTGGAAAGTCAAAGCATTTTTTACACTCCATTAAAAATGATCTTTGGTCAAACCGAGAAGTTGATTATAGGACGGAGGAAGGTATATATATATATATATATATATATATATATATATATATATATATATATATATATATATATATATATATTGCACAAAAAGTATTTTATCAAAATGTTAAAAAAGATCTTACTTTCAGTCATCGGTAATTTATCGCCTTACGAAGTGAGGTAAATCAATTTGTCATTTAGAACAAACGAAACAAAAATTGAAGAATATAGTGTCAAATAGTAAGTATGTCTAAGAAAATTTAATTAGATATGAAGTACTACCTCCGTCCCAGAGTATTTGTCCACTTTCATTTTTACACACCATCTAATACACTTCTTTAATCCATTTAATCTTGTAATTTGTATATTAAAAAATTATAGAAATTATATATTAATAATCTATATGTTAAGACAAATTAAACAAGATCACACATGACTATATTTAGGCTTACACATTGAGAGAATTTGATGAGTCAAAGTGCTTAGATGAACAGTTCCAAAAATCAAAATTGGACGAATACTTCGAGACGGAGGGAGTATTTTTTAGAAATTAGAGTCGTGAATAATAAGAAGCTAAAAGGATAAGATAAGGTATGCCACTATATGTCTATGTGTGGCTAGGAGTTAGGACTCAAGATTAGAATTCAAACTTCATAAAAATATTTAAAATAATAAAATGGAGCAATCATTCAGTATTTGGTAAAAATCGAATTACCGAATTATTAAGTGACCGATTTTTAGAAAAAAGAAAACCCGAATATCAAACCGACTTATTTGGTTCAGTTTTGGTATGTATTGAAATTTCAGTTTTGGTACCGTTCGATCGGTTTGCCGAATTGTGCACACCCTTAACTCGTATTATAGATAATTGTTAAATTGGTTAAATGAAAAAAAACTGCACGTCTAAGAAATGAATAAAAAAATTTTCCGTCATTTTACAATTTTTCCTTACTCGTTATTACTCATTCCGTCTAACAATAATCTTTCCATTGCAGGTTATGATGTTTGACTAAAATTATGTTTAAATTATTTTATATGTAAAATGGTGTGAAATTAAAAAAATAAAAATTACATATTTAAAAATTGCATAAAAAAATATACAAATTTAGAGTTGATATGATTATATTATTTTATCAAATGAGTATCAAAAATTCATTTTTATTAAAAGTTGTCTAATCAAATGAAAATGTTTTATTCTGAAATTTCTTCACCATCTTCCGAGAGTATCCCTAGTCCAAGATGTTTTCCACTAGCCGTTACTCGGCGCTTCCTTTTTTTCAAAACTTGAAATGTTTTCATCAACTCTTTCTCTACAAAAGACCGAAAACAGAAAAGATATTCCAACGAACAAACAAAACTAATCTCCAAAATATAAAAAAATGTTGTCTCAATCTCCTGTTGCTGCAAATTCCATCCAACGCCCCAAACCCGCCGCCGGGCGGAAGCCTCTCCAGCCGACGAACTCCCCGGCGAATAGACCCCCGGCCAAAGCAATCAAGCCCAAGCTAAAACCCGACCAGGTCGAGACTTTGCCCACACAGAGTTCAAACAAAGAGAACGTGCATCCCCTGCACGCGCCGCCGGCGGGGAAAACGGGAAAGCCTCCCAGCGAGGTCGAACTGCGCGACTCCTCGCTTGCGGATGAGCTCGGCGCGATCCGCGAGAAACTGGAGCGGCTGAGGATCGACAAACAGATGACGGAGAAGATGCTCCGCGAGAGAGACGAGGCGATGGATCTGCGGATGAAGGAGCTGATGAACAGAGGGGAAATTCAGAAGGAGCTCGAGCTCGAAGTCGATCGGCTCTTCCGATTGAACGAGCTCCGGATCTCCTGCACGGTAAGGACCCGATTGGATCTTCAAAATTCGATCGTCGATTGAAAATCCAGGTGAAAATTAATGATCAGATTCACGAGATTGCTTTGAATTTGCAGAAAGTATTGCCGATTCGGTCGCTTCGAGACAGGGAAAACGAGAAGAAGGAGAAGGAAGATCAAATCAAGGCAAGCGATGAACTCCGACCATAAATTCATTTATTCTGTTTATTTTTTTTTCTATTCATTTTAGATCAGAAATTGATATTTTTTTTGTAAGATTTGGTTTCAGGACGCGGCGGAAACCGAAGACGAGGAAAGATTACAGGGTAGAATTGCACCTTCAAGCCCAAGTTCAGATCTCGATTCTGAGAAATGAATACTCCGTAGAAGAAGATGGCTAAAGATTGGGTACACAGACCACAATCATTTGTGAATTTTGTAATTTCACCGACGTTCACATACAGTTAGTATTTGTATGTGTACAAATTTACCAATGATGTCATATATAGTGTTAACATCTTGTTATAATCCTAGCATTTTTGTTTATTGAATAAGAATTGTACAATTATAGTTACTAGTTAGATTATTTTAAGAAATATTTGCACTAAATAGTACTAAAACTTAAGTCATTTTTCTAAATAGCACTTAAATTTTTTTATTCCTTAAATAGTATTTAATAATGTACATAATGTTCAGTGATGACGATCATTTACTTGATAATGACTAATGAGTAATGACTAAAAGTGCTACATTGGAAAGAACATATGTGATGCTATTTAGGGAAAATCATTATGTTTTAGTGTTTTTTACGTAAATTTCCCTTATTTTAATCATACAAATAGTAAGATTTAATTTTAGTACTACTCATTTATTTGAATTATATTTAGTAGTATGGATGGGGAACACCCTTAATCTTGTTGTCCCGTTTCAAAACATACTACTTCCATCTTTGCATCAATTTTCGTTATGACACTAAAATTGTGTCTTCAATTGAATTTGTGTGGTGTGCCGATTTGAAACGAGCGACCAGAATACCCTTCTCTAAGTAATGGTTTGGTTAGATAGGTCCGGTGTAGTAAATAAAAGGTGGTAATGGTAAAATAATGAGTTTATTTTTAATTATTTGTTAAATAAGGAATGTGGACAAACTCATTCGATGTGCTTAAAAAGAAAGAAATGGACAAACTCTTCGAAAATTGTCATATTCCATAGTGGTATCCTTTAAACACACATACACATCTGTATTTCTATAACATTTAACAATCTAAGAGACTTATGGAGTTGTAGTAGGTATGGGCACTATTTTGATTCATAATTGTCAATTCTGAAATTGGAGTAGAACTGAATCAGTGGGAAGGGGAGGGTGGGTACCATACAAGACGTTGAGAAAGGATGAACACAAATAAGTGTTGTGCTTCTTTCCCTCTTGAAAGAGTAGGTGACGAGTAACAAACAAAATATTTCAAAGAACAACTCCAAACAATGACGGAGACGATCAAAACATGAAAGAAAATGATAGAAGGCAAAAGATTTTGACGCGGAAACCTCTTTCAACGTGAAAGAGTAAAAACCATGAAACCCTTAAGTCTAACCAACTCTATTAAATCCAAATTGAGAGTATACGTACACAATACAGTACAACACCACAATGATATTTATGCTTTGTTTGGAAGGAGAGAAAATGGAGAGAAATAAAATGGAGGAAGAGAAAACACAAATCCCAATACAAATTCTCTTGTTTGGAAAGAAAAGAAAATGGGAGGAAAGAAATTGAGGATGACTTTACCCTTCAAAATTTTCTCCCAGAAATTGAAGAGAAAACGGTAAAGGAGAGGAGAAAACTTTGAAATTTACTTTTTTGCCCTTTATCTTGACTTTTCCCAAGGGCAAAATTGTCTTTTTTTGTTCCATCACTTTTTTTCTTCCCACTTTTCACTTCAAACAAACAAAGAAAAGAAAATGAGTATTTTCTTTCCATCTTATTTTCTCTTCATTTTCTATCTATCCAAACACTCATTATTTTCCTTCTATTTTCTCTTCATTTTCTTTCCTCTCTATTTTCTTTCTTCTCATTTTCTTTCCTCTCTATTTTCTTTCTTCTCATTTTCTTTCCTCTTATTTTCTTCTCTCATCCAAACATATGCTTAGTTCTTAACAACTTCATGAAGGCATTATATATTAAAAATAGAGACTCAAAGATGTAAGAACATCAACAAAAAATAACAGCTTAACTCGAATCTCATAACTCAAGATCTAATTGTTGGAATTAGATTTCCACCATTCAAATTAAAGATTCAGAATTCCTATGGCTCTTCCTAAAATTAGAAGCTTGATCGAACGGGGTCTGGATCTTTGATCGAAGAGAAAACAAGACATGTGTTTCGGCGATTGAAAGAGCGACTACTCCCTCTTCTATGCTTTTTTGTGCTTGTGAATAATAGAAAGTACTCTCAAGGATGGTTGCCTTATTTTTCTCTTAAATGTGGACAAAATAGTCTTTAGTTATCCTCCAAAATGAGCCTTTTAATTTACATAGATAGAATCTCAACACAATAACGGGAGGTATAAATTTTTTTACAATATTCATATAATATTATTTAGTCATATACTTGGAGTAATATTTATAACTGGAGTAAAATTTTATACCCCGTCTGTCTGTCATAGATCTTCATAACTTTATTTTTTATAGTTTTTAAATAGAGTTGAAAAAGTTAGCATTTCACTAAAATATACGGAGTACATAAAGAAATTAGGTGGAGTATTTCAAATGAGGTGGTGAGGTGTAATAAATAAAGTGAGTATATAAAGGTTTGACATTTTAAATGTTAAAAAAGATAATGAGAAGATCTTTACGGACAAATAAAGAGGACATTTAGAAAAATCTATGGTGGATGAAGGAAGTATATACATTATAATATACACTTCGTATTTAGTATGTACACTCCTTATAATTTAAGTAGACATTATAAAGCTAATATTTCTACTTTCACCATAAAAATAACTGCACATCCGGGGGAAAAAAGTGATTTGGGACATGGTTAAGAAAGAATAGGAGGAAGAATCTAGGGGTAGTGCCCCTATAAAGATGCTTTGAATGACAATCTGAAATGAAAAAAATAAATTTCATATTATATAAGTATTCAAGTAATTATAATGAATATTCCAAAAAGTGGAAAAATATTATTTATGAAGAATATAACATGACTTAATATAAGTATCATATTTCAAACACTTACTTTCAAACTTCATTTAAACAATTTGTTGTACTTTTGGATGACAATTTTTTGGACCAAGGCCACACTTTTTCAACCGCAACATCGATAATGTGGCTAAAATGTATTCTAAATAATTTGCATGTTATTACACTACCACTCGTTCTCTACTGTTATAGTTGACGTAATCAGCCATCTACCTTGCAAAGAATCTGATTTTCCATATATAAGAAAATGAAACATGTAGGAATTTACTCCCACTTTTTTTGTGAATAAGTCATTGATGGGTCTCTTACAGTTGATCATGTCTCATCCGAATTTGGCTTGAAGACTTTCTGATGAAACCTTTGATATCACAATATTTTTGGTTTCTTATTCAAATGCTTTCTCTTGTTACAACCAAACTCAGTTTGAGCATGAATGATTAGAGATGAGCAAATGTGATGTGAATCAAGAAGACTTGATTTACGACATATGATCATGGGAGGATTCAGAGGAAGAACCATGGAATGCCATGATGATCGAATGGGATACTAGAATAATTTTTTGAAATTCCTTAGGCATGAAATGGTCGATCGCCGTGGTCTTTTTTATGAGTATCTTTTCATATTTAGTCACTATTTTTACTTTCTGTCACATTGGTGTTCAATTGAGGATTAAAAGTATAATTTTACAATAATTACATATCTTTTTTGTCATAGTCAATGCAAGAGGTCACTAATGATATGTCGTTTGTCAAGTAGAGCCGCAGTCTACAACAATACGTCGACAAAAATGTCTCTGATTAGAATCATAGTCCACAACTAAAGTCATTATTGTTGTGTTGTCTATTAAACAGACATCAAAATACATCATTGGACATGAAATCAATCTCAAATTGTTTTAGCCCCCAAAATAATAGTAATATGATAGAAGGTTAAAAAAATAAGTATGAAAAGATACTAATAAAAGAATGATCACAGACATAAAATTTGATAGTAGAGGACTGGATATAAAAATCACTCTGTTGTAAAGGACGAATTATAGAATTTTTCTAGAAAAATATGAAAAAAGCTCAATAAAAAAGTGAGTGATAAAAAATGAGTGATTAATAAAAAAGAGTGAGAATCGTATAAAAAACATTCCGTACCTGTAAAATAATTTTAAAAAATTACTTTATCTAATTAATATACATGCAAATTTTATTTAGTCATATGTCAAAAATCAATTTTGATTGATTGCAAAGAGCCAAAATTGCATAAAAAGAGTACTTTATTCATCGCGAAATTTAGGGGTGGGCGCGGTCCGTGATGGTCCGTGATACTATCGGAACCTATCATGGACCGCTATTATTTAAATGGTTCAGTATCGGTACAGGATGAACTCCAAAACCATTCGGTACCATTTCGTTTTGAATCGGAATGGTACAATGCCATACCCATGCTCAAACTGTACAAAAAAATGAACGTACATTACTTAAAGAATATTGAATTTAATGTATAAATTTATATAAAAAGCACAAGAATGTTAAATAAAAGTATCGATTTCAAATTTAAACGGATCATAAACATAAAAAATAAAAGATAACGAGTCCAAAGTTAAAAAAATAATTTTTTTTTCAAATCATAGAATATCGAAATACTAATAACTATAAAAAAAATAATGCCAATAGTAATGATAAATATAATGACAACAATAATAATGAGATAGTTTAAAACGAATAATAAAATACGAAGTATTCTATACACGCTAAGATGAAGTAGACAAATACTCCATAATTATTTGAGATGTGTATTCCGTATATAGCGTTGGACGATTCGGTCTGTGATAATTGGTTTTAAATATTTGTATTATGGTCCCGTCCTATTTGGTATCGGTTCGGTTTCGGTTCGTGATGAAAAAAGTTAATCCCGTTTGAAAATACTATAAACGGTTCAGTGCCATTACGGTCCGGTATGGTACTATGCTAAATTGGTTACATAATACGGAGTAATTTCTTTCAGCACTTGATAACTTTTGTTTATTTATTAATTTTCATTGATCATTTATTAAAATAAAATATTCTTGTTACATATTTTTTTCTTTAGATTTTTTGACAAATGGAGTAATTTTTTAATTTGTAAACTTTTTTTATAGATGTATTGATTTATAAATAAAATGATAAAAAAACTTAGAATTTTGCATCTTATGCCCAAGCATGAAAAGTGAAAACCACACTACATCAAATAAGACATCAAATCAAACATTAAAACAGGTCCTAAATGTGTTGATGCAAAGGTAATTGGGGCCTGAAAGTCATCATCCATCAATCGTCAATTCGTCAACTAGAAGAAGGCATCCATCATCCTTGCAGAAGAAAGGAGAGAAACTGTGGGGAATTTTCTCTTTTTTCTTTCCCTTCTTCCAAGCATTTTATTTTTATTTGTTTAAACCCGAAAATTG